CTCATTATTTACATTCCCACACTTATTGTTTATGCTCCCACACTTATTATTTACGGCTCATCCCATCCTGGCACCCTTATCTTTATGGCTCCTCCAGTCTCTGGGGCCGGGGAACTGTGCCCCTGCCTTCCTGCACCCGGGTTAGATGGTAGATAAGTTCACAGAGAAACAAGGGAGACAGATTGATCACTAAAGCGGAGCTTTCCCACAGTGCAGGCGCCTTCTGACCTAGCGAAGTAGTGGCTTCTCACCCAAAAGGGCCTAATATCACCTAACACTAATATTCTTAACATTTTAACATACTAACATTATACCAATACTCTAACAGTTGCTTGCTCCAAACCCACCAATAGGAGACTGTCAACCTGCTCTTTTTAAAAGCTAACAGTTAAATTGACCAATCATGACTATGGAATTTTGTGGAATTGTTCTAAAATGTATAAAAGCCCTGTGCTGTCCAACCTCGACCTTTCTGCTACTTCTGCCACCCCTTCTTCTGCTCCTTCTGCTTCTGCTGCTGTTGCTGCTACCACTGCTGGGTGGGAGATGCCTGGGAGCCTAGGCTGGCCTGAATAAACTGCCCTTATGCGTTTGCATCGACTTCAGCCTCCTGATGATTCCTAGACATCTCAAGATCTGGGTACAACGAAACTAAGGAAGATGACAAAGAAGGAACTTCCGGAAGTCAAGGTTTGGGATCCAAGTGCATTATTGGAGGAGAGAATAAAGATCTATTTTTTATGTGTCTTACATGCTTTATTTTCTACAGTATTAAGAATTTTCTCTTTTTTCAGTGTTAAGAATTTTCAAAGGATGTCTGTTATGTAGGAGATTGTATTAAAAGGGTTAAAAGATCTAATGAGCACAAAATGACCCTCAGTTGCTTTGTTAGGCCAACGGAAGTCACTTCGATGAGTTTTGTGATCCAAGAAGCCAAGCTGACGTGAGCTGACTTGAAACAACATCAAAGGACATACTGTATTGACACCGATGGCTTTTTTCCGTCATATAAGCAACTGTTGAGCTAGCTCTGTTTGTTCTCCAGATGAGTGTGAACTCAGCTGCACCAAGCAGAGTTGGCTAATGGATGACAAGTGAGTGGAACCCTGAACTGAAGTTCCTTTGAAGTTTTTCTATAACCTATCTGAGCTATGGTGTGGGGGTTTTTTGTTTTTGTTTTGAACCAATTTAACATGAAATTCCAAGATGTTCATATGCATATAGTAAAAAAAAATGGCTTAAAGAGAAGCATGTCATACAAAATTGTAAACTTGCAGCTAATTAGCCATTATTCATTCCATAGTCCTGTGCTAAGGGCAGGACGAGTTCCTCAAGGTTTGGCCACCCTCTTCACGGGGCTGAGGCAAGAGCGAAAGTGCAGATGGTCACCCCACTGGAAGGGCTAGGGGAATGCAGATGGCTTCACCTGGATCCACCTTTTCATATACATGCATTTGGAAACCTTACAGATATATTTATTTTATTTTTAAAAAAAGATTTAATTTATGTTTGGGCCTGTGACACAGCAGGCTGATCCTCCACCTGCAGCACCAGTGTTCCTGCTAGCTCCACTTCCCATCTAGCCCCTGCTTATGATCTAACAAAGCAGCAGAGAATGGCTCAAGGCCTTGGGCCCCTGCATGCATAAGGAAGACACAGAGACGCTCTTGGCTCTTGGCTTAAGAGCAGTTTAGCTCTGGCCATTGCAGCTACTTGGGGAGTGAATCAGCAGATAAAAAATCTCTCTCTCTCTCTCTCCTTCTCTCTGTAAATCTGCCTTTCAAATAAATAAATAAATATTATTTTTGAAAAAGGAGAGAAATTGCGCCCAGTGTGATAGCCTAGTAGCTAAATCCTCACCTTGCAAGTGCCAGGATCCTATATGGGTGCTGGTTCTATTCTGGTTGCTCCATTTCACATCCAATTCCCTGCTTGTGGCCTGGGAAAACAGTAGAAAGAAAATGGTTTATGGCCTTGGGACCCTGCACCCATGTGGGAGACTCAAAAGAAGCTCCTAGTTCCTGGCTTCAGATTGGCTCAGCTTGGCCTTTGTGGCCCTAGGGAGTGAGCCTGCAGTTGGAAGATCTTTCTCTCTACGTCTCCTCCTTTCCAGGGGGGAGAGAGAGAGAGAGAAAGAGACAGGTTGAAAGTGAAAGAGATTTGTTTTTCTTTTTCATCTGAAATTTTGATTTCAAAGAAAGACTAAAAATACTTCTTACTGTCAGGATGGCCAGCTGTTCTTCTCAGTTAGTATGCAATTGTATTCACGGAAGTGCCTGGATTTGGTAGTGTTCTTTGCTCTAAAGGATTTGAAAAATTTAAAAACAAACAGCAACAGCAAAGCAGCAGCATCTAATCCATTTACAGGCAACTCGTTAGAAACCCAAGGAGATGATTTCTGGCTCAGAGCAGCTTCTTCACACCCTCCAGGGATGTGCTGAACAGGAAACATTTCAAGCCTCGTTGATTCTCAGCCATGGGGCACAATTCAGTCACAGCAGGAACTCCAGGACTGCTGGGGCCCTAACAACAGCCCAGGAAAATGAACTGGGGAGAAACCTGTCGTTCTGGGAAGACACTTTAGTATTTTTTAAAGCTGCCCAGATATTCTCACATGCAACCAAAGGCAAAAACTACAAATTTTAAAGAATGTTTTCTAAATATCTTTAATGCTTAACATCTAATAGTGTTGTAAAATATTACTAGTGTTTTCATTTTACGTGTGCCACTCATATGTGCATCTACTAACTGACAAATATTTAGCAATCCAAGGTACATGAGACAATCAAGATTGAGGCAAAGTTTCACATCTCAGAGGCAGGGTTGTGCCTCAACAGGGTTTGGAGGATAGAGTTGCGTGCGCTCCAGCTAAGAACCATGTCTTGCAGGTCTTGTGGCTGCCTGCATCAGCTGGGCAGGAAACTGTACCAGCCAAAGTGGTGTTTTCATGGTTGTGGTACAGGTAAAGCAGGATGTTTTGTTCTGAGGAAGTTTTCAAGACAGCCGGTATGAGAAGATCCTATAAAGGAGGTCTCAAAAATACCTTAGTTGGATGTACACATTAGTTTGAACCAAAGAAGTCCTTTATTCTTTCTGTAAGTCACCCCCAAATGGGACGACCTTACCGTCCTTCCCGTGAGAGTGAGTCTCCCCAATGACCAACTAACTTGATGCAAAAGCAAGAGGCTTTATTTGATCACCAGGGTGCTGGGGCTAGGGCCAGTCCCCACACAGGAGGCAAGGCACACCAGCCCCGAGGCTTTGTTCAGCATTCTTTTTAAAGGCTAAAAACCATACTCACGGGCCCGGCACGGTGGCGCAGTGGTTAAGGTCCTCGCCTTGCACGCCCGGGATCCCATATGGGCGCCGGTTCTAATCCTGGCGGCCCTGCTTCCCTTCCAGCTCCCTGCCTGTGGCCCGGGAAAGCAGTCGAGGATGGCCCAAAGCTTTGGGACCCTGCACCCGCGTGGGAGACCCAGAAGACCCGGAAGAGGCTCCTGGCTTCGGATCAGCCGTTGCGCTCACTTGGGGAGTGAAACATTGGACGGAAGATCTTCCTCTCTGTCTCTCCTCTCTGTATATCCGCCTTTCCAATAAAAATAAAATATATATAAAAAAAATAAAAAATAAAAACCGTACTCAGGAAAGGCGGCCATAAAAGACCTTTGCCTTGCCATGCAATTAGGATCTTTTCCACTGCGCCCTCAATTCCTTATCACACTTCTTCCTGAGATGTTTGTCTCAAGACTTTTTTATGACCTAATCCGGATGCAGCCGCAGGTGCCCCTTATCTCTCTGTGGTTCTCAGGCTCTAAGCCATGAGATATTTGTTCGGCTAGGGATGTTAGTTCAGCTATCTATTGTATTTTTCAGTGAGCAAAGAGCAAGCAAAGTACAGAAGGCAAAAAAAGCAAATTAAATTCCTTTATCCTAAATTTTCCTTTTCACTTCCTGTCGTTGTTCGGTGAACGTGTCTATGAATAGGGTGAAGATCAGTCTTCTATAACTACTTCCTGCTGCGCAGGGCGAGGGAACTGTCCTAAGCAGAGGGGAGGAGAGTGGGGCAGAGCTGCTTGGTACACGATGGGATACTTTGGAGCATCACTTTTTGCTTTCATTTTTGCCTATGCGAAGTCTGCCTCAGAGACTGAACCTATCCTTGGATGAAAGGGAGTCAGACATGAGGAGGGACCCAAGAAAAGTAGCAGGAGGAAAGCTGTTATTGGTACTCAAAAGGGAGAACCATGACTAAAAGTTGGCCTTGAAATTCTAGCAGAGTCCCATGACAACTCTGCTTATAGAATTAATGGGTCCTTGATAATAGATTGACGTGTACCTTGCCAGACTGACAAAGAAAACAAAAGAAACACCAAAATTATTCTCCTAGTATGGCACAAGTTCCCTCTTTTCTTTTCTAAAAATTAATTTATTCTTATTTGAAAGGGAGATATTACAGAGGAAAAGAGAGAGATGTCCTCCATCCGCTGATTCACACCCACATGCTTGCAACAGCTGGAGCTAAGCCAATCCAAAGCCATCAGCCAGGAGCTCCTTCCAGGTCCACCTGGACAGGGGCCCAAGTGTTTGAACCGTTCTCCGCTGCTTCCCAGGACCTAAGCAGGGAACTGGGTTGAAAGTGGAGCAGTCAGGACTCAAACTGGTGCCCAAATGGGATGTTATCATTGCAGGTGGCAGCTTTACCTGTTATGCCACAACGCCAATCTCCGTAAGTTCCCTCTTGATTAGCAATCAGAATCTCCAGGAATACAGTAATATATTAACCAATACTCGTTTAATAAAATCACTCCCATTTACACATCCAGAGCTAGGGCCTAATCCCGGGATGTTTACTGTCCCCCGACGGGCTCGGCCGCTGGCAGCCGCTCGTCCCGGGCTGTCCCCGGCACCTTGCGGGCGGCTCGGGGGGCTGTCCCTCGGGGGGCCGGCCCAGCACGGTTCCCGGAAGGTCGGCCGGGGCCTCCCGCCGGCTCCGCCCTCACCTCTCGGCCGCCCGCCCCTCGCCTCGTCCAAGATGGAGGGCGCTCGGCCGGCGCCGCTGGCCCTCCGGCTGTTCCTGCTCGCCGCGCTGCCGGCCGCCGGCTGGTGGGCGACGGGCGCCCCGGAGTCGCCGCAGCCGCCATCCCGAGCCCCTCAGGTAGGGGCAGGGCGGGCGCGGCCAGGAGGCGTCGCTTGGACCCTCCGGGAGGCCGGGAGGCACGGGCGACGGCGGCTCCGCGCTCAGGCTCCCCCAAGGAGGAGTTGGGGAGACGCACACGGAAGTGAGGGGCGGGCAGCCTGACACCGGCGGGCTGGAGTGCGGAGGACGGAAGGCGCCCGAGGCGGGGGCTGTGGGGTGTCCCTAGATAAGCCAGGGCCGCAGCACTTGGAGGTTCTCGGGGCGGTCACCGCTCAGCGCTGACCAAAGGGGTGGCACCGTCGAAGTGCCCGCTCGCCTTGACCTGGGGCGTTGGTCATGGCGCCAGGCTAGGGGCAGAGCCAGGCACCGGGGCAGGCGGTGGCCGTGTGTCCAGGCCACCCGTGTCGACTGGGGGCTCCCCGGGACTTGGGTTGGCGACGGGAAAGTTTGGGTATGTGGTTTCTGGAGCACGAGGGAGACTCCGCAGACCCCTCGCTCTCCCTGTTTCAGGTCTGCCAGGGCGGCCCAGGAAGCCGCTGTTGGGAACCATATGTGTGATCATGCAAGAGGGCCCTGTTACATCTGGCTCCAATCACCAAGTCACCAAATAACAATGAACTAATTCTAATGTTCCAGAGACTTGGACATTGTTTTGCTCCTTTACCAGCTTTGAAGATGTGTTTGGGTCTGACCATAGAATCGTGTAGATACTACACTTGATCTTAGCCAAAAGGCCGAGAAGCAGAATTGTGTAGAAACTGAGCTGCTACCCCCACTTTAATGCAGACTTTCTGAGGCCCCAGCGTCTGCCCTCGCGTTGTAGTTTCTTTATCTTATTCCCCTTGATAGTGACAAGTTAGCTGCTTCCCAAAGATTAAAGCACAGAGTTAAGGGCACAGGAAAGAGCAGGACCAGCGGATTGCCACAGAATCCACTGAGCCCTTGTGCACGTAGCGCTGCCAGACTCCACCCTGAGAGCTTGAGGCCAGCCTGAAGGGATGTCCCATCTGCCTATAGACCCTGGATACACTGGAGACCACTTCACCACTGTAAGAGAAATCTACTGGCCTGCTTTCACTGACCAGAGGAAGGTCAGGGTCACTTTTGAGTCCTCAGGGGATCCTTCCACACTCACCCCATAAGTTAATCACACACTGAGAGCCACTTTATAAACTCACTGCCATCGCCCACCCAATGGAGTTCAAGAATTAAGCGATAGCTGCCCGATTCCTTGCTCTGCACTTGGCAAAAGTTAGACGACTCCTTTTGTTGAGGACCCCAGTTTCATTGCGGGCCTTGCTGTGTGTCGGATGAGCCGACCCAGGCTTTGTGTGTGTGTGTGTGTGTGTGTGTGTGTGTGTGTGTGTGTTGTAAGATTTATTTTATGTGGAAGGCAGGGTGACATAGATACTTTCTGTCTGGCCGGTTCACTCTCACCATGGCCAGGACAGCCAAAAACTCTGTCCTGGTGGTCTCTGTGATCATGGGCCATCCTCTGCGCTTCCCCAGGCTCTTGAGCAGGGAGCTGGGTCTGAAGTGGAGTGACTAGGACTCAAACCCACAGCCTGATAATCTGCTGGTGATCTCACTTGCTGGGCTGCCACACCAGAACCTGCTGTGGGTATTCTGGAACAGTTTGAGGATAGGTTGTTTTTGGTTTGTTTTTGTTTTGTTTTTTTTTTTTTTTGAAAGGCAGAGCTATAGAGAGAGAACTAGAGACAGAGACAGACTGATCTTTCTTTCACTGGTTCACTTCCCCAGAGGCCTGCATTGGATGGAGCTGCGGCTGCCCAAAGCTTAAGCTTCCAGGGATACCAGGGCCCAAGACCTCAGGCCATTAGCAGGGAGCTGGATCAGAAGTGGAGCAGCCAGGATGCAAACTGTCACCCATATGGGATGCCAATTACACAGGCAGAGAGTTAACATATTATACCCCAGTGCTGCCCCAGAAGGATGGATGATTCCATTCTGTTAGGTCCCTTTAGGTCTTAATTTCACTTTTGAGAAGTTTAAACTCAAAATTATCTGCATTGATTGCATGCTGAGTAGCAAGAAGGAGATTCTCATTACTTGGAATGTATATATACAAAGCTAAAGCCATTTAAGCTAAGTGTTCTCCCAATGTTTTATCATGATGAATTTGGAAGTTTATAGTGCGCTTCTGTATCCACTTTAGTAGCACCATGGACAGTGGTGGTCACCATCCCTGCTGTTTCCATTACAGTAGGCACTAAATGACTGGGGGCTGAGTGCGAATGTGAGCAGGGAGTGATGTTTTTATTTCATTTCAACTAAGTTTAGCTGCATGTGATTAGTTGGTGTCATGGTTGAACATTGTAGACCTCGATGGTCATGAGCATCTGATTCTACATGCTTTTATCATTTATCTTTTCAGCTGGCCCTGGGTTATAAATTGTTTAAAAAAAAATTGAAGTCCAGAAAATTCTTTCCCTCTCCTCTGTACAATGGCTTAAATTATTTTGAATTGTACACATTTTAACATACGTTAGATTGCAAATTTCCTATTCAAGTGCTGGTTCAGGTCCCAGCCACATTTGCCTGCTGATGCTCCTGAGAAGGCCACGAGAAATGGCCCAAGTCTTTGGGTTCCTGCCTCTCATGTGGGAGACCACAGTGGAGTGCCCTGCTCCTGGCTTTGAGCTGCTTGTTTGCATTTGGGAAATGAATCAGTAGATGGAGGATCTCTTTCTGTCTCTTTCTTTTTGTTTTTCTGCCTTTTAAATAAAAAAATCTTTTTTTTAAAAAAAAAGCTTAATTTATTTTCATTTTGTCGAAAGCAGAGAGCTAGCTCTTCTCTCTGCTAGTTCACTCTCCAGATGTCTGCCATAGCCAGGACTGGCCCAATCCAAGCCAGGGGCCTGTAATGTCAAGTAATCTGTAATCTCTAATGTCAAGAGCCATTAAAGACTGGAAGGCCCTCCAACAAAGATCATTCAGAAGGCCACAACAGAATTTAGTTAAACTTGGCTCAATGGAACATACAGTTGTCTTCTGAAAGGCCTGTATTTTACTAGTCAAGTATGTAAGCGCACTAAATCATGAGCAATATATTGTATGTTTCTTGATGAGAGACAAAAACTTAAAAAAAAAAGAAGTCTTAGAACAATAGCGTCGGGTACTTTTTCTAAACTGTTGGAACAGTAACCTACATGAAACACATTCTCTGATTTGGAAAGAGGAAGTTTGGGCAGGATTGAGACACAGGACCATACTGCTGCAACCTGCTGGCTGATTGAGGTTGACATGCTTTGGAGGTACTGTTGATTCTCAGTTAAACTTCCTCTAGATGAGGGTGGGCCTGGAGGATGCTCAGCCTGTTCTGAGCAGTAACTAGATGAGAAGCTTCTAGATTCCTGAGGGGGCGCTGGGGGGAATGGTCTAGAATCAGCTGCCACGTGTCACGTGGGCCTGATACAGTCTTCCTCCTATTCCCCAAGTTATTCCTGGCTTCAGCTCAACCTCATGAAAGCTTGTCAGTCTCATTCTCCAGTGGGAGAATGGAAGTGACATAGTCATGTGTGACATAAGGACAGGGAGGTGTTTGGAGACATGCATCCTGAGGTAGTTTCATTGTTGCCCTTGTTCCTCACAGAGGGTACTCAGACACACTGAGTGCTGTGCCTTCACAAGGCCCTCGGATGTGGTGGGACCGCTGCAGGTGTGGGGGCCATCGTTAGCAAAGTGCCGTTATATGTTTGTGTTAGGGCTACTCACAATGCCAAGAAATATGCTGGTGTATTATTTTTGATGCTTATGAATAATTTTCCTATTTTAAAAGTTAATACAGCTGCAGGAAAAAAAAAGTATTTAAAAGGAATTTTGTAATTGTAGGTTAACAATGTGAAAAACCGAGGGAGAATTACACGTGACAAATTGTGGTTCCTGTGATGAATACTTAAAATAGTGCTATCTTCTGTAGAGAAAGCATGTCCTCAGTAAACTGAAATCTGCAGGCAGACTGCTTTTGATCTGCCTGGAGAGACAGTAGAACCGCCCTGCAGATACTTACCCCTGAGAGCAGGGTAGAGTAGCTTTATTTATGAAAGCAAAATATTGGGAAAAAGTCCTCTGCTCATGAGTGGTGCCATGATGAATCAACTGGTGATTGTAAGATGGGTGTTACACAGCACCGTCAAACAAGGGGCTACAGCTACATGTATGAACAAGTGCAGGGAAAGAAGTTCCAGAAGAATGCCTAACATGCTATTTGCACAAAGCTCAGAAACCAATAAGACTAAGCAGTATGTTGTCTACAGAGAGAGGCAGAGGTAGTCAAGGTAGAAAGGAGAACAGGAAGTGATTAACACGGAAGTCACTAAGGATTCCTTCCAGTGAGTGGGAGAACGTGTCAGCGTGTCATGATGGGACTCCTGGCTGAGAGATACATGATGACTCATCTTTTAAGCACTATATTTGCGTCTATTATATGCTCACATATATATGGAAATGGAAAAAGCATATAAATTACAAAAGTTCGAAATTGTGACTAGGACTTAGTAAAAGCCACAAAAATGAAACTGATGGTCTTCAACATCTTCCTTCCAGTACGAGGTCATTGAAGGAAAATAGGACTGCACCAGTCCCACTTCGTGCAATGCATACCTGTTCAATTTATATGCTGTTTGTTTTGCAGGACAGTATCAGAGTTAACGTAACTACCTTGAAAGATGATGGCGAGGTATCTAATGCACAGGTTCGTGTCCTTTGGATTATGCCTTTAGGATATCACTCGGGTGTGTTGTAAAACTCATTTTATGCTTACCTACTGTGCTTCTTGGGACTCTGTGACTGAGAGGCCTGAAGCAGATTAGTTTATGAGGAACCATTTAGGTGGCTCACAGTTCTGCAGCTTCCAGGGCATGGTGTGGATGTCAGCCCTGTTTTGATGAAGGCCTCCTGGCAGGTGGCACCGTGGTGGTAGAAAGGCAGAAGCTGGCTGTCACAGAGCCAGAGGGAGAGAGAGAGACATCCCACAGTTCCTTCTAAGGATATTCCCTCGGTGACTTAGGGAGGTTTTGCCTCCTAAGACCCCCTGCACCTGTCACCACCATGTGAGGCCAGGTCTTCCTAACACCTTACACCTAACACCATAGGGACAAGCCACATCCATGCCGTAGCACCTGCATGTTGGATGTGGGTATATAATGTGTTTTTGACATGAAATTTGTTATTTGTAAATCATTGAAATTAATGTGTATGCTACTTTATTTTAAGGTTGTTCTTAACATAACCTATGAGGCTGGACAGGTATATGTAAATGACTTACCTGTAAATAGTGGTGTAACCCGAATAAGCTGTCAGACTTTGATAGGTGAGTACACTAAATTATTTCCAATAGTTCTGTTTATAATAACACTAAATTAGTAAAACATTTTCTAGGTGTTATGAAAATGCATAAATATCATTACTATAGTTCATAATGCTAACATGTTTAAAATTCTATTCTTTATATTAGCAATTGATGGAGTATTTACTGTTTTTCTGTCATGAAATTGGTATTGATGGCAGGTTGATATCAATATAAAATAGTGTGTGAAAGTGGGAGGGAGAGAGCCAAGATTGTGGAGGAGAACTTACCTTGATAGCAGAAAAAAACGAGAAAATGAATTGCCTGTGATTCTACATTTTTTAGCTTCTTCTACCCTTATGTTAGTAAAACTTTTTTAGCCTTTTAAAATTTTGAGTTGTTGTGGCAGGCACTCTTTGGGCTGCCTTTCTGTTGTACTGGAAAGCCTGGGTTCCAGTCCCACCTTGGTTGTCACTTTCAACTTTCTTTGGATCCCCAGCTGGCTGGGATGGCTGGGTCCCTGGCACCCACACAGAAGGCCTGGTTGACTTCTGGTCACCTGGCTTCTGCCTGGCTCAGCCTGTGCTGTTACAGATGTTTGGGGAGTGAACCAGTGGGTGAAAGATCTTGCTGTTTTTCTGTCTGCTCATCTCTCTGCCTTTCAAATCTAAACAAGAATAAATAAAAATTTTTAAATTATTTTTGAGTTGTTTGAAGAGAAGCAGATGTTACTTTGTAACAGTCCATATTATTTGAGTCAAAGAACCAAAATGTGAAATAGAATAGGATTGTTTTTATTGTTACTATATGCATTTAAGGGAATAAATTTTTTCCCCAAGAACTTCTGTGCTTGATTTATTCTGTATTCCAACTTTTGTTGAGTTCAAATGTTTCCTGCTCGTTTGCTTTGCTGTTTCTTTGTCCGATGGGTGCTGTAGAAGTATTCTGTTGCTTTTCCAAATGTTTGTTATTGGCAGCCCTGTATTCTGTATAATTTCAGTCCTTTGAATTTAAACTTGACTTATGGCTTAGTGTGGCAATTTAAAGTACACTTAGAAACTAAATTATGTTATTTTGATATTATGTTATATGGGTGCCAGATGACATTTTTAATCACACCCAATTAGAAGTTTTTGTTTGCTTGCTTGCTGTGTTAATTACTAAATGGTATGTTAACATCTGTGCAATTGTCCTTTCTCCTTTTAGTTTTGGGATTTTTGTTTGTTTCTCGTGTTTTGACAGTATTACTAAAATGCACACATATTCATAACTATTGAGTCTTTCTGGCAGATTGGTCCGCTTATCATTATGATATGTCACTCTAATTGCTAGTGATGTTCTTACCTTAAAATTGGTCTTACCTGTATCATTTTAGCTTTGGTGGGACAGGAAGGGAGGTGGATTGGTGTGAGGGTATCTATTTTCATTTTCTTTCAGATTTTCTACAGCCTTGTTCTTAAGATAAACCTGTCTTAAGCAGTTACACATTTAATGTGTGTGTGTGTGTTTAAGATTCATTCATGTGTTTATTTGAAAGGCAAGGTTACTGAGAGAAAGAAGGAAAGAGAGAGATTTTTCATCTACTGGTTCTCTCCCCAAATGACCAGAACAGCCTGGGGTGGGTCTGGCCAAAACCAGGAGCCTCATCTGGGCCTCTCACATGGCTACAGCAGCCGAAGCACTTGAGATATCCTTCATTGCCTTGTCAGGTGCATCAGAAGGGAGCTGGATCAGAAGTGGAGCAGGGCCTGGCATGACAGTGTAGCAGCTAATGTCCTTGCCTTGACATGCCGGGATCCCATATGGGCACTGGTTCTAATCCCAGCAGCCCCGCTCCCAATCCAGCTCCCTGCTTGTGTCTTGGGAAAGCAGTTGAGGATGGCCCAAGGCCTTGGGACCCTGCACCTGCATGGGAGACCTGGAGGAGGATCTGGGTTCCTGGATTTGGATTGGTTCAGTTCCAGCCATTGTGATCAGTTGGGTAGTGAATCATCAGATGGAAGATAATTCTGTCTCCTCCTCTCTGTATATATCTGATTCTGCAATGAAAATAAATAAATCTTTAAAAAAACATGCAGTGTCACAGTGACAGCCCTATTACTTTTTAATTCAGTGTTTAATTTTGTGATTTTCAACTTGGATTTTATTAATTAGTGATATATTTGAATGTAAGCTTCCTGTCTTCATTATTTTCTATTTGTCCCACATATTCTGTGTTTTTTCCCACCTCGTTTTTTGGTACCTTCTGCGTTATCTTTTTTTTTTTGTTTTGTAGCTCCCCTGGTCTTCTTAGTTTTATATTATTGTCCTGTCCTTTTAGTGTTTACCCTTGATATCAGTAAAGGAGTGGGTTTTGTTTGTTTGCTTTGCCCTGTTTTTAGTGGTTGGTTTATTGGAGAGGCAGAATGACATAGGGAGAGGATAGAGAGAGAGAGGTGTTGCTTCTGTGGTTCAGTTCCCCAAATGCTTACGGTAGCCAGGTCTGGGCACTCCCGAAGCCCAAAGCAAAGAATTCCATGCAGTTCTCCCACACAGGTGGCCAGGGCCCAGATACTTGAACCTCGTGCTGCACTCCCAAGAGAATCAGCAGGAAGCCAGATCAAAAGAGGAGTCGCCAGGACTTATTCTGGCTCTCTCATGTGGAATGCAGGCATCCCAAGCAGCATTTTAACCCACTGTACCCTAACACCTGCCCCAAATTAGTACCTCTAACACTTTCCAAACATTCTAAGAACCTTAGGGCAATTATAGTTCATTTATTCCGTTTTGCCTTGGTATTATCTTTTCATGCATTCTTGAGCCTGTGGAATGTAACTGTCCTTAGTGTTTTGTGTAGTCCAATATTTCTTTGTTCACTTTCATGTTACTCTCTCAGGGGCTCTTCTTTCCTTCCTGAGTGTCTCTGTTCCCCTCTGGGACCGTTATAGTTTACCTATGTAATTCTCTTTAATATTTAAAATGTTCTTTTTTTTTTTTTAGTGCTTTGAGTCTAAATATGCTACAAGTGAATTATGTGAACTCTTGTTTGAAAGCATGTTTACCTTTATTTTAGAAGGATATTTTTGCTGGACATAGGTTAGCACTTTTATAAGTATGTTGTGGGAACCAGTGGTGTGGCATAGTGGGCTAAGAATCCTGTCTGAGCGCCAGTTTCAATCCAATTCCCGTTAATGTCCCCAGGAAAGCCATGGAAAATGGCCCATGTTCTGCAGTCTACATGGGAGATGTGAATGGAGTTCCAGGCTCCTGGCATTGACCTGGTCCAGCCCTGGCCACTGTGGCCATTTGGGGAGTAAATCAACCAGTGAAAGAGTTCTCTGTCTCTCTTTGCCTTTCAAATAATTAAAAAAATTTTTTTTTTTTAAGTAGGTTCTTGTTTTGAGGGACAAACAAGATGCGTGCTTCCCTTTGCTGGCTCCCTGCCCAGCTACCCGTAATGGCCCAGGCTGGCCCAGGCTGCAGCTGGAAACCGAGAACATAATCTAGGTCTCCCGTGTGAGTGACAGGAGCCGTCGCTGCTCCCTGGGTGTGCATCAGCAGGAAGCTGGAGTTGGGAGCTGGAGGCGAGGGCTGAACCTGGGCACTCTGTGATGGGATGTGCGGATCTTGAGCAGCAGACCAAATGCCCTCATCCCCTGGGTTAGTAACGGAACTTATTTTATCCTCAGCCGGTGTAGGACTGCAGGTGCTTTGTTTAGCTTTGCTGCCTCCTAGTCATTTCTTTCCGTTCTGGCTTTCAGCTTCCCTAGCTATTCAGCTTGAGAATTGGCAAATGGCTTGCAGGGAAAGAGTAGCATAGACTAGTTTTTGGAAAGTTTTATTTTTATTTTTGTCTATTTGAAAGTCCCAGTGATGGAGAAGGTGAGAGCCAGGAGCCTGGAACTCCATCCGGGTTCCCCAAGTGCGGCAGGGCCCACGTATTTGGGCCATCTTCTGCTGATGTGCCAGGTGTGTAGGCAGGGAGATGGGTTCGAAGCAGAGCAGCCAGAGCTTGAACTGGTGCTCTGATATAGGACTTAATCTCAAGTGGTGACAGCCTGTGGCTTCCCAGTGCCAGGCCCCAGCTTTTGCTGCTATATTCACCTCAGTGTGCTGCTGTGCTGGTCCTCTAGATGCTGGCTGGATTTTTAGCTCTTTGCTGTGTCCACACAGAAGTGAACATTTATTTGATTTTAAATTTTGAATTTTATGGTACATTTCTGTAGAGTCTGGGATTTCCCCCTCCCCTTCCACCCTCGACTGATTTTCCCCATATTGTTACAATAGTATAGTCCTTCGTGCAGAGTTTTAATTCCATCAGTTTGTTAAGTGTGCCCCTACATTGCTGGTACAGTGTCAGACAGTCTCCCATCCCATTGTCTAGATATGCAACAGCTTCATTGGGAGTCCATCTTTGATTTGGAAGGAGGGACGCCTGTTGCATTGTGTCTTCACATCTGGATACGGTAGTCTCTATTACTGCATCACTGTACATTCCAGTTTGCACAATGGTTTCCTTATAATAGAGAGAAATATGGTATTTCTGTTTTGTGGCCTGACATATTTCACTGAGCATTGTGGTCTCTAGTTGGGACCATCTAGTTGCAAATGGTGTAATTTCATTCTTTTTAATGGCTAGTAATATTCCATGGAGTAGACATACCACAGTTTCTTTAACCACTCCTCTTTGGATGGGCATCTAGATTGTTTTCACATCTTTACTATTATAGATTGTGTTGCTCTGAATATAAGATTACAGATCCCCTTGTCATATGCAGTTTTCATTTTCTTTGGGTATATTCCTAGGAGCAGATAGCTGGGTCGTACGGCAGGTTTATTTGCAATTTTCTAAGCACTCGCCATACTGATTTCCCTAGGTTGTACTCCCACCAGCAGTGGAGGAGGGTACCTTTCTCCTCACATCCATGCCAGCAGGTATTGTTAGTAGAGTTCTCAATGTAGGCTGAAGTGAACGTTTCTTTTTAAAATAATTTATCTGGGGCCAGTGCTTTGGTGCAGTGGGTAAAGCCGCCAGCTACTGTACCAGCTACTGCCAGCTACTAGCACATGGGTCCGATCCACTTCCCTGCTGATGTACCTGGGAAAGCAGAGGCGGATGGCCCAAGTCATTCAGCAGTGGCTGAACCCAGTGAACACAGTGCTGACCCCCTTTGACATCTTTTGTACCGTTTCTCGGTGTAAGGGTTGTGACAACCAGGGAAAGCAGTGCTAGCAATGATTGAAACAGTGATGTCCTTGATGTTGTAATCTCTAGGTATTTGCTATGGAATGTAATGCAGCCAGTCTATTTATCATAGCCTTTCCATTCATCCTGTTGCTGCCTTGAATTTCTGTGATAGCATGTCTTCAAATCTTTTTTTTTTTTAAGATTTATTTTATTTTTATTGGAAAGGCAGATACAAAGAGAGGAGCAAAGAGAGAGAGGAAGATCTTCTGTCTGTTGATTCACTCCCCAAGTGGCTGTAACTGCCTGAGCTGAGCCAATCTGAAGCCAGGAGCCAGGAGCTTCTCCCAGGTCTCCCATGCGGGTGCAGGGTCCCAAGGCATTGTACAGTCCTGGGCTGCTTTCCCAGGCCACAAGCAGGGAGCTGGATGGGAAGCGGGGCTGCTGGGATTAGAACTGGTGCTCTTATTGGATTCAGGCACGTGTGAGGACTTTAGCCACTAGACTGCTGTACCTGGCTCTTCAAATCTCTTTTAAAATTTCTTTTTTGGTTGACATATGGTTGCTGCTAACAATTTAAACCAATATTCAGTGGCCCAAAATAATATTGGGTATTTCACAGTTTTGTAGGTCAAAAATCTGACTTGGATGTTACGGTGCAGCCTGTTACATGGTGCTGCTCGGGCTGCACACCAGAGCGGAAGCCCTGGCTGCTTCACTAGTGAGCCCGCCAGTGTGCCTGGAAGGGAGGCAGCGGATCATAGCCAAGTATTTGGATTTTGCCCTACCAACCCTGAGGCCGTGCTGGAGTTCCTGACTCCTGGCTTCAGCCTGGTCTAGTTCTGGCTGTTGTGAGCGTCTGGGGAGTCGCCCAAGAGATGGGCGATCTCTCTCTGCCACTCTGCCTTCAGCGTTAATAAATACAGACAGAAACCTTTGAGAACCGAGCTGGGGCCTTGATCTCTTACAGGCTGTTGCAGCAGGACTCCGCTGGACAATGCCCCCGCTCTTTCCCATGGTTGTGGGCAGCAGTGGGGTCCTGGTGAAAGGCATGTGCAGGCCTCCCTCGGTGCCTCACAGAGCTCTCTCTGGCCGCTGGAGCGCCTGGCAGGCTGACGGCCGGCTCCCTCAGGGAGGGCAGTCAGTCCTGTGCCATTTTCTCACGGAGGTGCCATCGCCTCAGCCTGCTTGGAAACGGCTGTGCAGGTGCAGCCTACATTGGGCGGGGCCTGAAGGCAGGAATTTCTGACTACTGCATTCATGACAGCTGAATGTGAGAAAGTTTATTTTAGTTTAGCATCAGCTCTCCAGTGGGGGGCGCTAGGTCGCCAGGGTGAAGAGTGAGCTCTTGGGTGTTTGCATGGCGGCTCTTCACCGAAGCTGTGCTGTGCAGTGGTGACTGGAGCCTGTTGTGCTGGAAGGGCGTGCAGCTGGACCTCCTTCACAGTCAGGAGCTCCGGGCGTGGAGGGGTGAGCATCCTAGAGAGAGAGGAGCCGGAAGCCCAGGTGAGGCCCTCCCTAGAGCGGGGCTTCCCTCACGCTGGCAGAGGCCTGGGGAGGCCACTGCAGGTGTTAGAGGTGGGAAGGATCCCAGTGCGGTTAATCGGACCTTGTTGTGTGAGTGACTTGAAGCTAACTGCTGCGTTATTGTGTGGTAAATGAACTAGCTGCTGGGATGGTTCAGACAGAAGGAATAGCCCTGTGAAGGCGCCTAGTCCCGCTAGGGAGCTCTGGTTCTGACATACATCTGCTTCCGTTTGGGCAGCTAATACTCATTACTTGAGAGTCAGAAGCTCAACACCCTTTTTATGGCAGTTTTATTGGTGTATGTTGCCTTGTTTGTTTGTTTGTTCTTGTTTTCCTGTTGCCCTTTAACTAGACTAACCTTTGGCTCTGTAAACAGCTGTGACTACTCCACCGTAGCTCTGTTGGGGTGGGCGTGGAGGTTTCCCTCCCTGAGAGAACCATGCCCAATGGCTAGTCCTCCTGCCCCTTCACCCACACCCAGGGAGTAAAAGCAGCTTTCTCTCACCCTCTTCCCCATTCCCAACCTTCCCAACAGTAACAAATCACACACTGGGAGAAAAGTCAGTGTCTTTATAGCTTGGGCCCTTGCATCCCCAGATGTTATGGGCGGATGACTGTGCTTACTTTGCTAAACACTGACTTTGTGTTCGGGCAGCAGAGGTTGGGGATGGAGAAAGGGGAATAAATTGGTTTGCAACTGTCTTATTCCATGTAAATGTTATCAGAGCAATCGAATTTACTGTCAGATTTAGTAACAGTTTTTGTTCAGAGCTTTTACTACTTCTTTTTTTAAACAGTGAAAAATGAAAGTCTGGGAAATTTGGAGGAGAAAGAGTATTTTGGAATGGTCGGTGTGAGGGTTTTAGTCCATGAGTGGCCAAAGGCATCTGGCTCCAGTTTGCAACTACTCATCGTCCAAGAAGAGGTGGTGGAGCTTGATGGAAGGCAGGTAGGATGCGCGCTTGGTAACTGGGGCCTGGAAGGATTTAAGCCGGTGCTAGGTAATATGTTCAGTGAACCTATGTGATGGATATTATATGTTTGGTGATTTGATTTATTTCTGGCTTGGCTAATAAAAATTGCCCATATGTTGCCCATATCTAAACATTTAGAATTTTTGTTCACTTACATTAACATTTGGAGTAGGTTCATATTTTAGAACTTGCTCATATCCCTACATGTGTGTGAAAATATTATGAGCGTCACTCAGCTTGGCCCGGGGCTGTGCTGCCAGTTCCTCCGAGTCTCTGCGCACGAATGAAGTGAAGCAGGGTAAACTTGAGCAAGTGCGTGCCAGAGCAGATCTGAGCGAAGCCCCAAACTGGTGCTGGGGGGCTAGTCAGAGGGGGAAAGTCAACCTGTAAAATCCTACGTGGCTGTGCCGTTACTTGAAGAATAATGAACTTTACTTTTTTTAGGCTCAGCAGAAGGAAGTGACCGAAGTTGACATCTTAGTGAGGAACCAGAGGATGCTGAGACAGGCCCGCTCCAGCCTCCGCTTGGAGGAGAGCATGCTGCATGCTCTGTCTCGGGACAGCGACACGCTGTTCACCCTCCCCGGCCTCTCCAGGAAGGGCAAGTAACGACCACTACAGATTTAAGGGAATTAAACTTTCAGTTGGTAGCTCTACATAGTCCTTAACTTCATAACTTATGCGCTCTTGGTAAAAGTGGTCTGGTCTTCTTCCTCGCAGCAGGTATGTTTGGAAATAAGCTTCTTTTGAAAATGCCTGATGTGTCCGTTTCAGGACTCTGGAAATCCATCCTGAGCCCTAGAATGTGCAATGATGTCCATTCACAATCCCTTCCTACTCTGTGCGCTCAGCACAGAATATGTAATGAGAATATCGTAGAGGAAGGACTGCCCACATTCCCACTGTGCAGTAGGACCTTTTATTTGACACAGACTTTTTTTTTCATAAGACTTTTTAAGCTGTTCACAGTTGATGTGACAAAATTCACAACTGTTGTACCCCCTCCTAACTGCTTTCGTTGATGCCTCCTGGCATTTAAAGCAGTGAATAATCTAACTATGTTAGTGGTTTTTATCCCATGGTCAAGTATGCGCTCTTAGGATCCCAAGTGGAACTGGTCGTGCAGTCCCAGGGCTGGGGAGGGACACCGTCAGGACCCTTGCATTTGGGTGGCTTTGCTCTTCTTCCTCAGGAGAAGGTGTTAATCCGCTGCAGACCACCAGCCAGTACCTCACCGGGAACGTGGAGACCACCGTCGAAGGAGAGGCCCTGCCTGGCAAACTACCTGAAACGCCCCTCCGGGCGGAGCCTCCATCTTCCTATAAGGTGAACCAAGTATTTAGTGCTAATTCTTGTTGTTTTAAGGTTTGCTTATTTTTATTGATTTTAAAAGCAGAGCATTGGTGAAACTGTCTTGTATACATGTAACATCTTAGCACTGAGAGATTCTTGAATGTTAATATTTTCAACAATGCTTGTACATTGTTACTTGTATTACTAAGTATGTTACTAAATCAGTGATTTGATTAGTTACTAGAAAGAGGGGGGAATGAAGAACCTAAGTGTTTTCTGCCTTTTGTGATTCTGCCTTAATGGCTTGGCTGGGGGCTGTGTGAACCTCAGGCCTGACAGTCTAAGTGATGCCCAGCAGGACACCTGGCAGGTCATGCAGGCAGAGCGTTCCTCAGGAAGGAGGTACCTGGTGTTAGATAAGATTCACCACCCTATAGCGCATCGATTTGTGCTTTTTAAAAGTTGCTTGTTTCAAATCCACCAATAGAAGCCTGCTAAATCATGACTGTATAATTAATAGCCTGAAATGTATAAGAAGTGGGGGGCTTGGGCTTCCCTCTTCTGGCTCACGCTTCTTTTTGCTGGGCTGCGGGAGGTGGCTGGGATAAACCACCTTTATGCCTTTAAAAAAAAAAGGCAGAGCAACAGAAAGATATCTCTCTCTCACACACACACACACACACACACACACACACACACACGTACACACAGACACATCTACCACCTGCTGGTTCATTCCTTAAATGCCTCTTACAGCCATGGCTGGATTAGACTGGAGTGGGCACTGGAGCTCCCTCTGAGGCTCCCACATGGGTGGCATAAGCTACTGATGTTTGAATTTTCTCATGTCCTTCCAGCTGCTACAAACAGAGAAACAGTTGATGTGGATCCATTTGGGTTAAAGCAGACTGGCCTAAGTCTCCTCATGTATTAGCAGTTACTGTTAGTTATTTAAAAAGGGTTAGAGTTCTAGTTCTTAGGATATTATGATATTTTACGCGCAGCTAATTCCTACAACCTGGTTCTTTACCGTGAGCTGAAAACACCAGACGCAACGAGGCATCTTAGGTTTATTCCAGTGGGGCAGGAACGGGGGAAGTGGAAGGGGGGGAGGAAGGCTGGAAGGAGGAGAGAGAGAGCAAAGAAGAGAGAGAGAGCCGCACCTGGGGGCCTTTTTGTCTGCCAGGTGTGAGGGGTGGGGATTGGGAGGGATTGAGGGCAAGCCCCAGGAGATTGACAACTGCAGGTGAATGCCTGGGGATGATTGGTGAGTGGGCAGGATTGGGGAAGGGCTGGAAGATTGGGGGGTGGGATTCTCAGGTGGAATGCCAGGTTACATCTGATAATGGATGGCTAGACTGGTGTGAATTTCATGAGCTGTGAGGAAGAAGGAATGGCACCAGGTCCAGGGTGGGGTATTCGAACAACTCCTTACAGTAACCTTCACATGATTGTAGTTAGACAACGGTATGAATATTCTAACAGATGCTAGCATTTCTAGGCTTGTATTGTTGGAACACAAGTTTTAGAATAAGATACCACAACGTGTTAGTCCACAAGCGGGAAGGGTTCTTGTCGGTGCTTGGTGGCACTTGTGTGTTTAGCCTGGACTCTTTGCAGGTGATGTGTCAATGGATGGAAGACTTCCGGAGAGCGCTGTGCAGTTTCTGGAGCAGCGTGCTCCCACTGTTCTTTATGCTTCTCAACGTCATGCTGGTTGGAGTTATCGGAGCGGCCGTGGTGATAACCATTCTAAAGGTGCTTTGCCCCGTGTTTGATGACAAGTAAGTGTCTCTCCTGTTTCCAAAATGGCAACATTCTCAAGGATTAGAAAGTGGGTGGTTTGTACTGTGTTGAAATTTGGGGAGTGAACTGATAGATCTCTCTCCCACACCCCTCTTTTTTTTTTCTTTCCACTCTTTTCTCTGCCTTTTAAATAAGTAAGTTTTCAACAGGATTTGCAGTGTGCTTTATCTGCGGTGTTGTACTGTGGATGCTTTTTTTTTTTTTATTAATGAAGATAAAGTCAGTACAGAACTAGAAATTGCAGTCAGGTGAAAGTGTCTCTTCTGCTCTCACTTCTTAGTGTCCATCATTTGACACTGAAAGCTGCTGGACATCTTTTCTTTCACGTCCACGTGTTGATCTCAGTGTGTGCTACATAACTGCAATTATTTATCAACCTGGACTCTTTTTTTAAAACTACATTTATTTCATTTTATGACACAGTCATAGGCTCTGGGATTCCCCCAAGCCCTCCCCCACATTGAATTCCTCCACATTGTTACAGTAGTACCGATCAGAACCAGTCATGATTAACCTGGACTCTTTTTAAAGATTGTTTAAAAGGCAGAGTGACAGAGTGATCTTCCACAAGTTCCTTCAAATGCCTACAGCAGTCACAGCCAAGCCAGGGGAAAGCCAGGAGCCGAGAGCACTCTGCTGGGGCTCCCATATGGTGTGTGGAGGGGTGCCCAAACACTTGGACCACCATTGGCTACTCCCAGGATGCATTCACAGGAGGCTAGATCTGAAGCAGAACACTCAGAGGCGTCCCATGAGATGAGATGTGGGAATACCAGCTGGAGGCTGAGCCAGCTGTGCCACCACACCTGCCCTTGCACAAGCCTCCTCACTGTCCTGCAGCTTGCTTTCACTTAAGACAGACATACCCAAGCTTGCTTGCTTTGTTTTATTTTTTAAGATATATTTATCTTTATTGAAAAGTCAGATACACAGAGAGAAGGAGAAACAGAGAAGGTCATCCATCTGCTGGTTCACTCCCCAAGTGGGCACAACAGCTGGAGATGAGCCAATCCAAAGCCAGGAGCCCAGAGCCAGGAGCCTCTTCCGGGTCTCCCACACGGGTGCAGGGTCGCAAATCTTTGGGCCGTCCTCTATTGCTTTCCCAGGCCACAAGCAAGGAGCTGGATGGGAAGCGGGGCTGCCAGGATTAGAACCATAGTTTTGCCAGTGTCTGCTGGGAGCTAACATCAGATCACACGCCTCAGGCCTGTGCTGCTGCATAACTGGCTATACATTGGGGTTCCCAGAGCCCCTCTTGTAGTTTGATTTGCTAGGACAGCTCACAGAATTTGAGAAATGATTTACTGTTCATTAGAAAGGATACTAACATTATTGCAAGGCATAAAAGATGAGCAGCTGGACAGGAAAGATGTGCAGGGTGAGGTATGGTGTGTCGGAGGGCCAGCAACTTTAGGCTCTTCCTCTTAGCACCCATAACCCCCCCTCCCCTGTAAACCCTTCTGCATTGGGCCTGCCTGACCAGGTCATTGCCCTCCTCCGATGATGAGCTCAGTATTCAGTCTCCCCGTGCGCTCCCTACCACTCCTGGAAAGTGGGGTGGGGAGGCTGTGCATCCCGGAGCTCTCATCAAAGCAGATTCCCCGGCAGCCCACCTCTTTTTCTGAGCCTGTCTGGGAGCCCTGAGCCAGTTGTTGGCTTAACACCATGAAAATGCAAGGATCCTAGGAGCTGTGTGCTGAAACTCATCTTACAGATCACAGTTCAGCCTGTTGCATGGAATGCAGATGGCATAATACCATCATTCCTGTATAGACATTAGGCAATTTCCGATTTTGTTTTGTTTCTCGTAAGGCCCAAGTGTGCATGCTTGTCTGTCTGTCCCTTTACACATGTGGGTGTGTAGGTGTGTTACTACACGCAGGATGACTGGGTCAGGGGTATGTGCATCCTCCTGCCCCTCAGACCTGGTGACAGTATTTCCTGTTTCTGCTGCTGCTGTGTACAAAAATACAATCTTATTTTGTATTCTATCTTATCTTTGCAGTTTAAGTCTACTAGGTTTGTGGTAACTGGCTGTGCATTTCCTCTTTGGATTTATGGATCTATTGCCTTTATCCGTTTTCTGATTCTATTGCCTTTTTAAAAAAATTATTTTTATTGGAAAGCCAAATTTACAGAAAGGCGAGACAGAGAGAAGGACCTTCCATCTGCTGGTTCACTCCCCACGTGGCCACAATGGCTGGAACTGAGCTGATCCAGGAGTTTCCTCCTGACCTTCCTCATGGGTGCAGGGTCCCGAGGCTTTGGGCTGTCCTCTACTGTTTTCCCAGGCCACAAGCAGGAAGCTGGATAGGAAGCAGGGCTGCTGGGATTAGAACTAGTGCCCATATGGGATCCCGGTGTGTTCAAGGTGAGGACATTAGCCGCTACTAGGCTGTTGTGCCCGGCCCTGTATATATGTTTTATCCCACACTACCATTTTATTCTTTGCTTTTGATTTTGGTATTATATATCTTATAAAAGCTTCACATTTGGGGTTTAAGCAATTAAAGTTATTCCTTATTCAGTACTAGGGTCTATATTTGGCCTAAGTAGGGCCATCTTATTACTTAAGTGCTTTAAAGAAAAAGATTTATTTTTATTTGAAAGACAGTGTTATAGAGTGAAAAGGAGTGAAAGGTTATCATCTTCCATCTGCTGGTTCACTCCCCAAATGGCTGCCAACAATCAGAGCTGGACTGCTCTGAAGCCAGAGGCCAGGAGCCTTCACTCCGTCTTCCAAGCCATCTTCTGGGCAATCTTCTGTTGCCCTCCCAGGGGCACCAGCAGGAAGCTGGATTGGAAGTGGGGACTCAAGATTGGTGCCATGTGGGATGCTGGTATCACAGGTGAAGGGCTAGCCTTCTACATCACAGTGCCTTTCGCTTCAGTGTTTTGTTTTGTTTTTATTTATTTATTTATTTTTATTATGTTTTATTGGAAAGGCAGATATACAGAGAGGAGAGACAGAGAGGAAGATTTTCCATCCGATGATTCACTCCCCAAGTGAGCGCAACGGTCGATGCTATGCCGATCCGAAGCCAGGAGCCTCTTCCGGGTCTCCCACGCGGGTGCAGGGTCCCAAAGCTTTGGGCCGTCCTCGGCTGCTTTCCCAGGCCACAAGCAGGGAGCTGGAAGGGAAGCGGGGCTGCCGGGATTAGAACCAGCGCCCATATGGGATCCCGGGTGTGCAAGGCGAGGACCTTAACCACTGCGCCACCGCGCTGGGCCCCAGTGTTTTGTTTTTGTTTAAGATTTGATTTTTATCCCAGACTCAGAAAGACAGAGAGATATCTTCAGTCCTCTGGCTCATTTCCCAAATGCCACAGTGGTCAGAGCTGAGCTAATCTGAACCTAGGAGCCAGGAGCTTCATCCAGGTCTCCCACGTGTTTGCAGGGTCCCAAGGACTCGAGTCATCCTCTGCTGCCTTCCCAAGCCATACGCAGGGAGCTGAATAAAAGGTAGAGCAGCTGGTACTCGTGCTTCTATGGGATGTCAGCGCCGTAGGTGAAGCTTAGCCTGCTATACCACAGCGCCAGCCACCCCCCGCTGCAGGTGGCTTTAAAAAAAGTTATTTGAGAGACAGATGTATGAGCAGAGTCTCTGTATGCTGGCCCACCCCCTAAATACCCACAGTGGATGGGGCTGAGCCAGGCTGTCCCGTGTGGGAGTCAGAGCCCCATCACTGGGACCGTCCCCCTTGCCTCTGAGTCTGTAGTGGCAGTAGGCCAGGGCAGGAGCCAGAGCCTCCTTGTCCTTCTGATGTGGAACCTGGGCATCTTAACAGCCAGGCTAAATTGTCTGCTGCATAGCCATTTTCTTAAAACTTAGCTGTCTATCCTTTCATGTACAGTTCCTTAAAATTCTGATTTTGGGCCTGGCAGCGTGGCCTAGTGGCTAAAGTCCTCGCCTTGAACACGCCAGGATCCCATATTTTCTTTTTTTTTTTTAATTTATTTTTTTTAAAGATTTATTTTTATTATTATTTTTTTGAAAGGCAGATATACAGAGAGGAGAGACAGAGAGGAAGATCTTCCGTCCGATGATTCACTCCCCAAGTGAGCGCAACGGGCCTATACTATGCCGATCCAAAGCCAGGAGCCTCTTCCGGGTCTCCCACAGGGTGCAGGTTCCCAAAGCTTTGGGCCGTCCTCGACTGCTTTCCCAGGCCACAGGCAGGGAGCTGGAAGGGAAGCGGGGCTGCTGGGATTAGAACCGGCGCCCATATGGGATCCCGGGCGTGCAAGGCGAGGACCTTTAACCACTTGCGCCACCGTGCCGGGCCCAGGATCCCATATTTTCGATGGTTCTAATCCCGGCAGCTCTACTTCCCATCCAGCTCCCTGCTTGTGGCCTGGGAAAGCAGTCAAGCATGGCCCAAAGCTTTGGGACCCTGTACTCGCGTGGGAGACCCGGAAGAGGCTCCTGGATCCTGGCTTCGGATTGGCATAGCATCGGCCGTTGCAGTTGCTTGGGGAATGAATCATCGGATGGAAGATCTTCCTCTCTTTCTCTCCTCCTCTCTGTATATCTGACTTTCCAATAAAATAAATATATCTTAAAAAAAATAAATAAAATTCTGATTTTGTTTTCTAAACAGAGGTCATTGTTCCATTGATGAACTGTATGGCCTTGCAGTGACACTTTGTTATAAATTCTCATATACCTTAATCTCTTTTTCTGTTCCATTAATGTATTTGTTCTTGTGCCAGAAACAGTTTTAATTACTGTAGTTTTTTGTTTTTTAATGATTTATTTGAGAGGCTGGTACCATGACGTAGTAGGTTAAGGCCCTACCTGTGGTGCGTGCATCCCATGTGGATATGGGTTTGTGTCCTCATGTTCCGCTTCCCATCCAGCTCCCTGCTTGTGGCCTGGGAAAGCAGCAGAGGATAGCCCAAGGCCTTGGGACCCTGTACCCACCTGGGAGACCAGAAGAAACTTCTGGCTCTTGACTCCAGATTAGGTCAGCTCCAGCCATTGTGAGTGGGAAGTGAATCAGCAGATGGAAGTTCTCCCTCTCTATGTGAAAATATGCCTTTCAAATAAAAATAAATCTAAATATATATACATTTGAAAGGTAGAATTAGAGAGGGAGCGACCCAGAGATCTTCAATTCACTCTGCAAAGAGCCAGACAGCCCTGGCTGAGCCTGGTGTGAACAGGAGCCAGGAGCCCCATCCAGGTCTCCCACATGGGTGGAGGGCCACAAAGACCTGGAGTATCTTCTGCTTTTCCAGGCATATTAGCAAGGAGCTGGATTGGAAGTAGGGAAGCTAGGACCTGAAACCAGTACTCACATGGGATGCTGGTAGGCAGTGTCTTAACCCACAACACCCACTATGTTTTAATGAGACATTTTTTAGAAGATTTATTATTTATTTATTTAATTGGAAAGTCAGATATACAGAGAAGAGGAGAGACAGAGAGGAAGATCTTCCGTCCGATGATTCAACTCACTCCCCAAGTGACCACAATGGCCGGTGCTGCGCCGATCCAAAGCCAGGATCCAGGAACTTCCTCCAGGTCTCCCACATGGGTGGAGTCCCAAGGCTTTGGGCTGTCCTCAACTGCTTTCCCAGGCCACAAGCAGGGAGCTGGATGGGAAGTGGAGCTGCCGAGATTAGAATTGGCACCCATATGGTATCCAGGCACGTTCAAGGCGAGGACTTTAGCTGCTAGGTCACAGCGCTGGGCCCTAATGAGACTTTAAAAAAAATTTTTTTTTATAATATTTTTATTTTGACAATCTTTACATAGTTAATTTGGGCAAAAAGGTTCAAGGGCTACAGGAAAGTGGGTAAGACTATTATTTCCAAATTGTTTCCTTCATATATCTGAGGTAGAGGGGGATATTGAGGGAGAAGCCCCACCCGGTTTCCCACTCACCCCAAGTCCCGCATGTGGGGCATGCTCCGAGATGCTCGTTGAAGTGGTTTCAATAGGTCACCAGTTTTGAAATTGCTGCCAATCTTGCCTCTCCAAACACGATGAGGTTGTTGAAAAATCCATTGATTGACACTGTCCATCATAGCGTCTCTATTTGCCTGTTATTTTGTTGCCAACCTATAGCTGAGGTGGTTGATTAACTTGTTCCATCTTCTGTCCCTTCATGGTTAGAGTTCTGAGTCTGGCATTTCAGTTGGGGAGATCACCAAAGAAACTTCGTGTGAGGTGTTCCCAGGCCAGATACTCTAATGAGACTTTTGATAGGTGCTTAAAACAATCTTCTCTTCTGTCTCCCCATTATTCTTTTTTCTTTTAAAAAAATTTGACAATCTGCAGTTTTTCTCCTGTAAATTTTATAATCAACTTGTTTTGGTGTCTAAACAACTTGAGCTGATGCCTTGACAAAGATAATACTATTTTTAAAATGTGTCTTGGGTGCAGTTCAGGCCTTATCAGGTGTATTTCCTTTTCTTTCGTTCAATATTTACTTGTGTCAAAGGCAGAGTCAGCAGGTCTTCCATCTTCTGGTTCACTGCTCATTGCCGGCAACATCCAGAGCTGGGTCAGGACAAAGCCAGGAGTCTGCACTCAGTCTGGGTCTCCCTTGTATGTGTTGAGGTCCAGCTATGTTGGAAAAGCCATATTGTGCTTTTCCAAGCACATCAGCAAGGAGCAGCCAGGATTCAAACCAGTGCCTAAGATGCTGTAGTTGCAGTTAGTGTCTTACACCACTGGACCGCACTGGCCCCTCTAATCAGATTTTTACTGACAGAAAAAAAGTTATGCTACCTAAAGATTTAAGATCGTGTTTCAGTCCTAGTTTTTGGAAGTACCTTGGGCTTTTGCCCCACCTGCAGAGATGCAACGACTTCACTCTGTCTTGGAGATCTGTGCTCACTCCGTTCCTTGTTTTCCTATAGTATCAACTGAATACACTTCCTCTACGCCTTTCTAGTCGCTCAGATTCAAGTAAACTTGGGGTTTAGTTTGTACAAATGAATGAAAACACCCAACCTTACGTGTATATTTAATTCTGACCTTAAGGTAGCCCTGTCTTTCTACCAAGCTATTAAGTGGAAGAAATACTTAATTTTTATAGTAAATAATGATTTTTTTCTTTCAGAGGAATTCTTCAGTTGGATCAAGTGGATATTATACCTGTGACAGTTGTCAGCTTGTATCCAGATGGACCTGAGAAAAAAGCAGAAAACCTTGAAGACAAAGCATGTCCTGAAGCCATCATTGCAGATCATGGACTCTGAATTAGTCTGTTGATTCAAAAATTCCCACTTGGATATAATTTTCATTAAAAATTAAGAATCAGTTTATACATAGAGAACTTGCTAAACTCCTGCCCTCCTTAATGGTGCCAAGCTAAAATGTCACCCGATTTTATGAAAGCATAGTTATTTAGCCGCATTGTTGAGAGAATCTGAACAAAGTGGAAGAGAACACACATGAGGACACTTTGAGATGACCAAGGAGAAAAAGCCGAGACAGAATGCCAGCGTGCCAGTGGTGTGCCACGTGCCTTTGCTCAGAAGACGGCCTCCACTTGTTTAGTGTAATATATGACTTTATGAAAAAGCACTTTACCAAATTCTAATTTAAAAGCTCAAAAACGTAACCTTTTTTTATTCAATATGATGTGCCTTTGTATTCATTGCACTCTAAAAATCATCAAACTATATCATGCCATGGTTGTATCCTGTACCCAGAATACTTACCTCTGCAGCACCAGGATTTGAAAGAAATGACACGTTCTCACTCTATAAAATAAACTTTTTTGGGGTGGGGTGGGAAGTACATCTATTTTGGTCCAAATTTACATAGAAACTAATGAGAGTTACCCATGGGAACTGCTTGCACACAGGGGCAAGGAAAGCTCTGTGGGACGCAAGCCTGAAACCAGGCTGTGATCAGAGTCCATCGGCGTCATGCAGCTAGGATGCGTCTTTGTTGTTAAGGTTTGGTGGGTACTTTATCTGGTGGCCTAGGACGTTCACCTTTATTTCTTTACAAATGTTTTGATTGCAGGCCCTGGCATGGTAGCCTAGTGGCTAAGGTCCTCACCTTGCACATACCAGGATCTCATATGGGCGCTGATTCTATCCCAGCTGCCCAACTTCCCTTCCAGCTCCCTGCTTGTGGCCTGGGAAATCAGTGGAGGACGGCCCTAAGCCTTGGGACCTGACACCCACGTGGGTGACCCTGATGAAGTTCCTGGCTTCGGATCTGTTCAGCTCTGGCTGTTGTGGCCACTTGGGGAATGAGCCAGCAAAAGTAAGATCTTTTTCTCTGTATCTCCTTTTCTCTGTATATCCACCTTTCAATTAAAAAAAAAATCTTAAAAAAAATTTTGTTTTGCAAACATTGCCCCGGAAAGTAATGGCTGCTTTTGTTTTTAAAAATTTATTTTTATTGGAAAGGCAGACACAGAGAGCAAGAAAGACAGAGAGAATGATTATCCATTTGCTAGTTCACTCCCCAAGTGGCCGCAAGGACCAGAGCTGTGCTGATCCAAAGCCAGGAGCCAGGAGCCTCCTCTGGGTCCCAATGCTTTGGGCTGTCCACTGCTTGCCCAGGCTACAATCAGGGAACTGAATTGGAAATGGAGCAGAACTGGCGCCAATATGGGATCCTGCCACTTGCAAAGGGAGGATTAACCAATTGAGCAGGGCCCAGCAATGACTAGTTACGTACACTACTTTTAAAACAAAAACAACAAAAAACTTTTTTCACAGGGCGATAAAGACAGGGTACATGCTCTTATCTGTTGCCCGCACTGGGTCCTCATCAGCAGGAAACGAATTGGGAACAGAGCTGGGACTCAACTTCAGGCACTCTGATGCAAGTCGGACATGTGTTTTAACTGCCAGGTCTAATACCTGCCCTTCATGATTTATTCTGCCGGAGCTCGAGAAGGGTGTGGTGGGCTCGGCCATAAAAGACACGGACACTGTCACTTGGTGTGCTCTCGTAACAGCTCGAGAAGAAGCTGTCCTTCTTATTTACTCAGACACAACACAAGCCTCTGCACAATCGTTTGATTGTTCTATTTTTACTTCCTGACTAAGTGGCTATGCACAGATGTTTGGTTATTTTTTACTTCATGGTCAACCAGGTGCTCTTCAAGACAATTCTGTAAGTTACCATGATAATTTTCTTCAAGCCAAGCCATTAGTCCTTCTTTAGCAGTAGCCTTTGGTGACAGCCAGGACTCCAAGGCCTTAGCACCTCCTGGTCAGTAATACATTCCTACCACATTGCTATTTCCACAACTTGCCCATCATTTAACGTGAGAAATAGGTTACAAGGGAAAAAACATAAAAAATCCAAAAGTTTCAAGTATTAAATCCCCCTACAATTACAGGCTCTATAACCCCATAAACAATCAAACAATAATCAGAAGCATATCTCTATAATATTAATAAAATCACCCTATAATTCCTCTAGTTAAAGTTACAAAGGCAGCTAAAGCAGCTACATTTTCTATACTCTGAAAAGCTGCAAGGATAGGCTAACCTTTAGGGTCACAGTGGCTATATTTTTTGCCATAGCAGGTTCAGTTCATACTCCCATCCCTTTCATTTGTTTGTAAGAGTCTTATCAAGCCATTTCCCAGAAGGCATGCTACATGTCTGGGCCAGATTACAGGGCAATGGGTAGGCACACAATAAGGTGTCCAGAAACAGCATGGGCTTAATTGTGCTCCCGTGCGCAGTCAAAGGCCCACTCACCAAGACATCAGCGACATTAACTCTCAAGCTCTCATCGGATGCCAAAACCATCTCACAGGGGCAAACAACAATGCCTCACTAGATTACAGAATTCTTACTGGGGTGTTTGAGTGTCCATGCAAACGGGGGTGAGACTGAGTCAAGGTGGTCAGAGAGAAATCCCCTGGGTCCTGCCGAAAAGCTGGAAGCTCCCTGAGATCTGCCAAACAGCTGGAAGCTCCCTGGGCCCTGCCAAACAGCTGGAAGCTCCCTGGGCCCTGCCAAACAGCTGGAAGCTCCCTGGGATCTGCCAAACAGCTGGAAGCTCCCTGGGCCCTGCCAAACAGCTAGAAGATCCCTGGGATCTGCCAAACAGCTGGAAGCTCCCTGGGATCTGCCAAACAGCTGGAAGCTCCCTGGGATCTGCCAAACAGGGGAGCTGTTCTTTTCACACTTTCCCATCATCCACACCTACTGCATGGACCCCAGCATTATTCTAATTTTATACTTTACAAGGCCACTATTTCTATCTCCATATTGTTAGAACATATGCCTGCAGTTTACAATTTGATCCTGAAATCACCAACCACTGAAATCATCAGCACTTTGATTTCTTTCTTCATTGTATGAGTTTTAGCACCAACTCCAGGGCTGGCTGGCATTGTGGGGTGGAAAGTAGGGCTGCTGCCTGTGATGCCAGCATTTCACATGGGCCCCAGTTCTCACTTCTCATCTGGCTTCCTGCTGATGTGCCTGGGAAGCAGGCTTATAGTCACTGGGCCCTGCTCCCACATGGGAAACCTGAAAGAGGCTCCTGGCTGCATTCCAGCCCAGCTCCAGCCATTGCAGCCATTTGGGAAGTGAACCAGTGAATGGAAGACCTCTCTCCAGCCCCTCTGATCTTCAACATTCAAACAAATAAAATGGTTTTTTAAGATTTATTTATTATTATTGGAAAGGCAGATATACAGAGAGGAGGAAAGAGAGGAAGATCTTCCATCTCCTGGTTCACTCTCCAAGTGACCGCAATGGCTGGAGCTGAGGCAATCTGAAGGCGGGAGCCAGGAGCTTCTTCTAGGTCTCCCACACGGGTGCAGGGTCCCAAGGTTTTGGGCCGTCCTCGACTGCTTTCTCCGCCACAAGCAGGGGGCTGTGATAGTACCTAGACTTAATGAGTATGATTAGAGTACAAGGAGCAACATGGGCTTAGAAACACCTACCTCCCTGTAGCACTGCCATTTATGTGGAAAGAACACAATGGCATGGTCCTCTCCACAACGCCGCCCCCCCCCCCCACTTTAAAATGCACAGTAAAATGAAGTGTACTCCCCCGGGAAGAAGAAGGAAGCTGTGGTGAAGGCAGGTGGGAAGGGACACATAGTGGGCATGGATTAAGCCTTGCTTTAATTCACTACTTCTGTAAAAATGTTCAGGAATTTCCAGCTATGCACTGGCTTATGTAAGAAGCTAGAGTTAGGGCCAGGCATGCGAACTGAAACCTCCACTCCATCTGCCGCTTTTGGCTGATGGGGGTAGGGGAGCTTAGCCTGGCCGGCTGCTTAAAAAGTAGCTGGCTCCATCATAGCTCGGAAGGCCAGTGTGTCTATTGGTGCTGGCTCCGCTTGTTGGCCACCCACCAAGGAGCTCTGAGGACTTGGGGTTGAGGAATTAATACCTAGGGACATCCATGGATAAGGCCACTGTACATGCAGGTGAGGAATGAATCCTGAGACAGCCTATGACAAGGCCACTGTACTTGTAGGTAAGTGAGGAGACGGGGACCTGGTGGTTTGAAGGTGAGAGACTAGAATATTTGTATGGGTGAGAACATTGCTGACTGCCACATACGAGCCTACATGAAGGCTAGGGCTGGGGGTCTGTCCAGCAGGGTTAGGTCCCAGTACATGACTATCAGAACAGGGGACGGGTCATATTAGGCAGGGTCAGGACACTAACCAGCACACGAGAGAACCAGGTCTTTGGGTGGATTCTGTGGGGGATAAGTGGGCCCAACCCTGTGAAAATATAAGTCCCACTGGTTAGTTCAAGAGTTAGGATGGTGATGGGCTGAACCAGGTGTGAACATGGAACCTGCCAACACTCACAGGTACTAGGGCCAAGAATAGGCTGGGCAGGGCCAGGCTGTAGCACCTGCATGTGTATCCAAAAACAGGGTTTGGTGCAGGCTAGCCTGCAACATCCTCTAGCTCATGCAAAGGCCAAGATGGAGGGGCAGGCTATGCCAGGCAAGGGCCTAGCACCTGCTGGTGCAAGAGAGATCTGGGTCTGGGAATGGGCCAAGTGGGGGAACCTGGGAAACTCCCTTATGGGGTCATAGCTCCCACTGGTGAATAAGTGGTCCAGAACTATGTGTCAGGCAAGCTGGGCAAAGTAGATCCATCGGTCGGCATGTGTGTGGGTTGGCTATGGAAGGGGGCAGACTGGACAGAGCCAAGGAAACCTTAGCCCACTGGTGAGTGCAGAAACCAGGTTGGAGTGCAGGTCATGCCAGGCCAGGGTATTACACCTACTGGTTCGCATGAGCCAGGGACAGGAGCAGACTGAGAAGGGCCAGGTTGCAGCACCTACCAGTGACAGTTGGGACTGGGAGCTGGCTCTGCCACACCAGGCTGCAGCATCTGAAGGCAAAGGCTAAGACGGATGAGGGGCTATGCCAGGCCAGGTCACAGTAACTACTGGCATGCGCGAGATCAGTAGATGGAAACAGGCCTGGCTGGGGAGCTAAGGGGACACCCTGGTTAGGGAATGATTCCCATTGGTGAGTGTGAGGGCCAGCGTAGGGGCAGGGGTCTGGTCTGGACATGGCTGCAGGATCCATCAGTATGTGTGTGGGCTGGGTATGGGATGCACAAAGCCGAGTTAGACTCCTGCACACACTGGTGCTTGTGAGAACCAGGGAGAGTGTAGATGGGCTAGGCTAGTTCTCTGCTCCTGCTGAGCCATGTGTGAGCTGTCTCTGGGTGTGGACCAGGCTTGGCTGGGCTGTAGCACCCAACAGTTAGAACCAGAAAGGGTGAGGGCTGGTCCTGCTAGGGCAGGAGGTGGACTAAATAGGGCTGGCCCATGGACCCATTGGTGTGTGTGGGATCTGGCATTCATTGGGAGAGGTTCTGATGGAGGAGCCTGGGCAATTCCTCTAGCAAGACAGTTTCTGCGGTGAGTGCAAGAACCACAACAGGGAGCAGCCCAGACTAAGCCAGGTTACGGTACCCCCGGGATACATTTGGCACAGGTAGGGGGCAGACCAGGCTGAACCAGTTCATATCACTCGCTGGTGGATCTGAGCACCAGAACAGTGTGGGTCAGGCCAGGTATAGTTGCAACACATAACAGTGCACATTACAGCTGGGATTAGATGCATGTTGGACTGGGCTAGGCTGTAACCCTCACCAGCATCAGCTGGAATTGGAGGTGGGCCGGGCCAGACTGGCAAATGCCAAGGTGAGATGGGCCATACAGACTGGGCCGCAGCACCCAACCTGCACATGTGAGAACCAGGGAGGGAGGAGGCAAAGCTGGTAGGGAGAATGTGGAGGGCTCCCCTGCTGGATCACCACTCCCACTGGAGAACATGAGCTGGGATGGGGGCAAACCACACTGGGCAAGGCTACATCTGTGGGCCTCATGTGAGCTAGATCAGGGGAAAGATGAGCTGGGCTGACCGTTCCTACTGATGCAAGCATAAATCAGAGTGGGTGAGGGTTGGTTGGGCTTTGCTTCAGCATCAGTTGTAAGTTGTAAGAGGCTGGCACTGGGGGGCTAATTCTGTCAAATTAAACAGCAGAACCACCTGGAGAGTGCATAATCCAGGAGTGGGAGTGGCCTAGGAGGGAAAAAATGGGCACCTCCCTCTTGGGCTACTATCCCACTGGAGAGCATGAAAACCAGTACTAGGGCAGGAGTAGCTAGACAGAACAGCATCTGCCAGCACATATACATGGGCTGGAAAGTAGGGCTTTTGGGTTGAACTAGGCTTCAATGATCATTGACATGTATGAGAGCTGAATGGGATGTGGGACAGACTGAACAAGTCTGTGGTACATACTGGCAAGCATGGGAGCCAGGGTAGGGGGCAGGCCTGGTAGGGGTTATGGGGAATTGCCCCAACTAGGCTGCAGCTCCCATTGGTTTGCGTGAGGGCCCAGTATGAAGTGGACAAGATCCAGCTGGACTGCAACACCCATTGGTTCACATGGAAGACAGGGCTGGAAACAGAACTGACCCAGCAAATGCAACCACCAGCATGTGCATAAGCTGACTGGGGCGATGGACAGTGCTGGACCCTGTACTGGCAAGCACACACAAGAATCAAGTCTTGGATCACCTCAGACGAAGTTTCTCTGGGGATCCCTCCAACTGAACTGCTGATCTCAGAACCCCAACCATGAAGAGACTATTTCAGCCAGCGGATTCTGAAGAGATTTCATCATGCTTGGAGTGGCGAGACTGGCAGCAATTCAGAAGTGTTGAACTATCAAAACTGCTTGAGCAGGACCCTTGGAGCATGCCCCACGTTGGGGACCTGGGATGAGTGGGAGGCTGGGTGGGGCTTTTACTTTTATCTCTCTTCTTACCCCGGATACAGAAAAACAAAATAATATTAATGTGGAAACAATGGTCTTACTCACTTTCCTGTAGCCCTTGACCCTTTGTGCCCTAATCAACTATGTAAAGATTATCAAAATAAAATAAAAAAAAAAAAAAAGAAAAATCCCAGAGCCTATGGAAATGTATAAAATGATAACAATAATAAAAGTAAAACAGTTTCACAAGCTAATTAACAGTATGTGCTACAACTGTACTACTGAAACAGAAATGAGGTAATGCTAAATTAAAACAAAGTTTCAGCTTAAAAAATTGCCTTTATTTAGAATCATGTTCTTTTTCTTTAAATCTTACCATTAAGAACATTAAAAAAATATAGCACTTAGTGAAATACTACATTTACTTATTTTTCAAAGACTTAAGGCAAATTTCTTACAATTTACATGTGAGAATTTAACATGATCCAAATTCAAATATCCACTTCTCGTATCTCTCAATGTCTGCAGCAGATACCGACTTGGAAACCTTCTTTAAAGCCATCTCAAAGTCTTCCATTGTCGTAGGCATGTGCATTTCTTCTCTTGAGAGATTTCGGATTTCTTCGGGGGTCAGACCTTCAATTCGCCTTCTCATTGCCATCAAGGATGCATCCCTAGATTTTAGGTTTAAAAAAATCACAAATGATTATTCTGACTATATGTAAAACTCTCTAATTATGCCCTTATCACAGGAGAGACACTGAGCAGCTAAGCCGCCCACGCCCCCACTGGAATACCCTGGTTACATTTCCCTCTGCGGTCTCTAGGTTCCTACTGCTGCAGGGAAGGTGGCAAGGCAGCAGGAAGGGCTCGATTGGTTCTCACTCCCTGCAAGGGAGACCTGGGTTGAGTTCCGGACTCCTGGCTCCAGCCACAGCCACAGTGAGCACTTGAAGAGTCAATCTGTCAAGTAAAATTTGAAAGTCTTACATTTACGTGTGTGTACTGCTCAGGACTGTGCCCTGGATAAAGACGTGTTCTGAGTTGTGCTGAAGCAAGGGGAGGTACACTGAAAATCAGTAACAACTGAGTAAGCGAGATAATCAAGGGAAGTGTTTACTCCTTTCCTGTTCTAGTGGAGAAACTTCTGCTAGGACAAAGGCACTTCAAAAAGTTCATGGAGAAATGAAATTCAAAGGCAATTTTCATGCAACAACTTTGTAGTTTAGTTTATTAAAGAAACAGCTCCCATCTGCTCTCAGATGCCCACAATGACCAATGCTGACCTCGGGCAAAGGTGGGAGCTGGGAATGTAATTCAGGTTCGGCAGAGGGTACCAGGAGCTCACTGCCAGTCAGCAGTGCTGCCTCCCAGGGCCTCTGCCTTAGCAGGAGACTGCCTTCAGGAGCTGGACAGAGCTGGTTTTCAAGCCCACGTCCTCTGTTGGGGGATGTGGGCATCTTAACTGTCAGGTTGACTGCAGAAACTTTAAAATCAACATGGTTTTCTTAAGAATATGCACTTCTCATAAACTAATTGAAGACCCATTGTATGTATGAATTTTAACATTATTTTTGGTACCAAATTAAACATTTGAGATACAGACACTGGAGAGCTCCCACCTCCTGGTTCACTCCCCAAATGCATGCAAGCAAGGCCCAGAGAAGGAACTCAACTCAAGCCACCTCTACCCAGCAACAGGCACTTAAGCCAACATCCCAGGAAGATCAAGTCAGGAGCTGGGAAACAAACTTAGGTACTTTACTATGAAAATGTGGGTGTCTTATTGGATAGTCCAAAGACTTACCTCAAGTTTATTTTTTTCACCATCTTCCACAAACATTTGGAGTCCCCCTGTACAATTATTGTATATATGTATACAACTGTCCTTCCCAATCTTGGTAACCCTGTGCAGTATGCTTTCTAGAGACAGAAACTAACGTAGTCAAGCCCCTTGCTGACAAGCATCTGAGCCAGTATGTAAGGTCAGGCTGAAACTTACTAAGTTGCTTACTACTGCTGTTCCTATCACATTCAGGATAGGTGCACTGAAAATGAGACGGCCCTAGATAGGCCAAACCAGTTTACTTACTATAGTCATTTTCTATGTTACAGTATGGAATGCACTGGTAAGTTTTAAAATCTAAGACAATAACTGATTTACTACATTTCACAAATTCCTTTAACCTTATGTTCTTGAACTTGTAGCTTTTAAATATACTATAGATTCTACACTGACACAAAAGATACCCAAATACGACTCTAACACCTGCTCGCACTTAACTTGCAGAGTGTGGCGCTGACCACAGACTGTAAGGCAGGTCTTTACACTCATCTATCTTATCATAAAAACATGATAGAAATATATATATGTATATATGCCCACAGAAACCTCTCCTTCCAAATCATACACACCTGCACACGTTGGTGATGTCCGCCCCTGAGTAGCCCTCCATGTTTTCCGCGATGCTTGCGAGGTCCACGTCATCGGCCAGCTCCAGCTCACGCAGACTGATCCGTAACAGCTCCTCCCGGCCCTTGGCTGGGGGCACAAGCAGTTTAAAACGTGAGCCTCAGCAAAGCAGAGTGCACTTTTTCTCAAGTTTACTTCCTGCGGGTTGTTTTCCAGTTCTTAGAGCTTATCCACTTGGAATTTCATGAACTATTCCTCCGTTGAGTTTTTGATCTCTTTGTATCAAGGTGTGCAGGTTCCAGATAGAGCCAAAGTGGTAATATGAGGATAGCTTCTATTTCTTATCTCGTTAAGACAGCCACTTTAAACCAAATCTTAATCAAAACTAGTTAAGGATTAATACCTTTCCTGACAAGATACAAATGAAGGTACCTGATGGTAATGGAATATAGATGCGCTTCTCAAGACGTCGCCGTAAAGCCTCATCTATATCCCAGGGAAAGTTAGTGGCTGCCAAAACCATTACCATTTTGGAAGGATCATCATTTTCAGAAGCACCTCCAACACCTGAAAGAAGTGTAAGGAGACAGTAAAAAACATTAAGTGCACTGCGCAAAATAAAGCTCAGTATTTAAAGATTATCAAACATTAGCACACTACAAGATAGTATAATTGACAGCCCTTGAAGATTTAGAAAGCTGGGGGCTGGCATGGTAGTAGGGTATCCTAAACCTCTGCATGTGGTTCTGGAAACCCATATGGGTACTGATTCAAGTATCAGCTGCTGCACTTCCAGTCTAGCTCCCAACTTATGCCTTGGGAAAGCAGCAGAGGCTGGCCCAGGTACCTGGGCCTCCGAACCCATGTCAGAGGCTTGGAGAAGCTCCTCTTGGCTGCCAGTTTTGGAATGGACTAGCTCTGGCCTTTTGGGGAATGAACCAACAGATGGAAGATCTAGCTGTGTCTCTCCTCTCTGTATAACTGTCTTTCCAAAAAAAAAAAAAAAAAGAATAAAGCTTGAAAAACAAATTTAGAAAGTTTACTGGTACACGTTGAGTAGAGGAGGCACATTTGCAGTGGTGGTCAAATGGTTGGCTTTCTCCCATCCACCTGCACTGGGAGCTTTCTCAGCCTTTCAGATACGTACATACATACATAGATTCTAAACGTTCATAGAATATGACATTAAAAGAAAACCTGAATAAATTTTCCATGAGTTTCCAAAACTTACTTACAAGTGAATTTATAATCTAAGGAAAATGAGTTTTCTGTGATGTACAAAAATTGACTCATAACAGATGTCATCAAGAGTAGTTCAGCTTGGGGTCAGTGTTGTAGCATAGCATCTTAAACTGCTACCTGTAACACCAGCACCCCACATAGGTACAGATTTCATGTCCCCACTTCCCATCCAGCTCCCTACTAACAGCCCGGGGGAAGTGCAGAAGCTGGCCCAGACGGCCCAAGTGCTTGGGTCCCTGTAAGCACATGGATGATCGGGAAGAAGCTCCGAGCTTTCCGCCTGGCTCAGTCCTGGCTGTTGTGTTCACCTGGGCAGTGAGCCAGTAGATGGAAGATAACAAGATAAACAGTTCAATCTTTTAAATAGCTGAACTCTATCATATAATACTTTTCAAAACATACATAACCACTTAAGGCTACTTTATTTGCATTTATTTCTATTTCAGAATGGCTACCAATAAACAAGATCACTAATATGCCAAAGGGCTCCCTGTAGATGGCCGCTGGGAGAGCTGTACCATGCCAGCCGCCTTGGATGCAGCTGGAGCTATCAACAACACCTAAAGGCTTTGTGGAGAGAGAGGAGGGGGAGACGGGCAGGGAAGAAAGGGGGGATGGGGAAGAAGTCCTATACCTACAAAAATGTAGTATATAATGGAAAATAGTAATTTTTTTACAAAATGTAATAATAAAAAGCCATGTAGTTAGCTCTCTGGGGAGAGCCAGCCGCCGTGGCAAGCTGACCTCCCGCCAGGGCAGCCCAGGCATACCTACCATCCATCTGCACCAGGAGCTCTGCCTTCACCCTTCTGCTGGCTTCGTGCTCTTCGGAAGTCCCCCTGCGACTACAAATGGAATCTATCTCGTCAATAAATATGGTGGCTGGAGAATAAAATCGAGCCTAAAAGAATAAACCACAGAACACAGAATTTTTGTTTTATTTAAAAATAATCCACAAGTCAGCAATGAGAAAGCAGGTAAGTACAGCATTCCCTCTGGCCCTAATACTGGGGCGAGAGGACAGTCTAGCAGCAAACGTAGCTCCTAATGCACTTACTTATTTGAATATATTGGTATTTTTTCCCACTCAACAATGCAAGTGAATATATACTTATCTGACATATACCCAAGATTATTCTGGTATACTGTAACAATGTGGATAACTGTGGTGGGGGAACGTTTATAGATACTAATATTAGCAAGTATTTTAAAGGTCTCAAAAAACAGTTTACAGAACCATCACCTTACGTAAAGTCATAGAGACTGCCTCCGAGAGACTTCTTTTATTCACTGTATTGAAATGCAGAAGCAGAACTCTCCCCTGCACTAGTTCACACGCGGATGCCTGTGGTCTGGGCCAGTCAAAGCCAGGAATGCAAATCAAGCATGTCCGTCATCACCCATTGCCTCCCAGGATGTGCCACAGGAACAAGGCACAGAGTGGGACTTCAGCACAGGTGCTCCAAGGTGGGACTCAGGCAGCCCACACAGGGTTTTCACCACCGTGTCAAATGCCTGCTTCTCCAAGAAATTCTAAATTGCCTTTTTTTTTGGTTTAATCTTACTTTTTTTCCTAAAGATTTGTTTTCATCTGAAAGGCAGATTTACAGAGAGAGATTCTCCATCTGCTGGTTCATTTCCCAAATGGCCTCAATGGTCAGAACTGAACCAGTCTGAAGCCAGGAGCTTCTGTGTCTCCCATGTGGGTGCAGGAGCCCATGGACATGGGCCATTTTCTGCTGCCTCCCTAGGCACAGTAGCAGGGCTGGGTCAGAAGCTGAGTAGCTGGGACTTGAACCAAGCCCACTGGGATGCCAGCACCACTGCTGGAAGTTATTACACTAAGGTGGTGGCTTCTCAGTTTACTATTTAGGAACATTAAAGTATATTTAGTCCTGCCAACTAGAAATTTAATAATTTATATGTTACAAGGGGTTGTTTTTTTATTTAATCTATTTGAAAAACATAACTCCCATCCAATGACTTCTCCCCTTGAGGGGTCTGGGACAGGCTGAAGCCAGAAGCCAAAACCTCAAGCTGAGTCTCCCATGTGGGGAGCAGGGTCTCCACTTAAGCTGTCACCTGCCACCTTCCAGAGTATGCAAAAGTAGGAAGTTTGAATCCAAAGCATAACAGGTACTCAACGCAGACACACCGACATGAGAGCCCCTCAAACTATGCCTTAACTGCTTGCTAAATACCGCCCCTCAAACCCAGCCCAGGTTTTCTTTTAGTCATGATAAATTTCACATTACACACACTATTTTAAAGTATGTAATTCAATGCTTGGTATCTTCACAGTGTTATACAAACAGTGCCATTACTTAACTGCAGAATATTTTCAGCATCTCAAAATAATAACCGACAGTCTCTCCCTCACCTGGTTTCTAGCACAAACTAACTTATGTGCTTTCTTTATGCATTTGCCTATACTGGACATTCATAGCAATGCAACCATACAATGGATGGCCTTTCGTGTCCAGCTTCCTTTATTTCACATACTGTTGCTAAGGTTTGTTTATGTTATGGCATATATAATACTTCATTTTTTTTTAGAACTAATATCCCCAGAGTTAAATGCATTTCTTCCTCAAAGTAATAGGGAAGATTAATCTGATCCATTAACTAACAGACCTAGTCAAATATTAACATAATAAAGAGTTATCAAACACTGAACAGCACTGCCCAGCTTTTTAAGGAGTCTGAGAAAGGAATTTATTGAAATAACTAAGAACACATTGTTAAATCATTTTTAAGTTCAAATATTCAAGCTTATAGAACCACTATAGCAGAAAGTTTGCACCTAAAATAACCAACATTTCTGGCAGACAGAATTCAGATGAACAAACAGTATTTAAAACGTTTCCTACACATACAAGTCCAGAATGGGAAGTAACTATTACAGCTGTGAATGTTCAACCACACTGTCTCGTCAGTTCTCTGCTCTGTAAGGCTATGATGCAGTATAATCGAAGAGGGGAGGTAACCGTACTGAAAATACTATGTTCTCAAAGTACAAACTTAGAGTTAGTCTGTTTATTTTGAAAATCCAGACATCTAAATCCTTCTTATAGTTCAAAATCTGAATTCTAAGTCATGTAATTCCCTCCAAAGTTCCTGACAATATAACAAAAATTACACATTTGAGCTTTTGTGTGCGTTATGTGAAAAGTTCCAGATACATTTTCATCAAATTTAGGTCACTGTAAAACGTGGGCACTGGTTCATGTCCTGGAAGCTCCACTTCTCATCCAGTTCCCAGCCTGTGGCCTGGGAAAGCAGTCCAGGAGGGCCCAAAGCCTTGGGATCTTGCATACATGTGGGAGACCGGGAAGAAGCTCCTGCCTCCTGGCTCTGGATCGGTTCAGCTCTGGCTGTTGTGGCCATTTCGTAGCTACTTAGGGGGGTAAATCAGCAGACAGGAGATCTTTTTCTCTGTATCTCCTCCTCTCTGTATATCTGCCTTTCCAGCAAAAAATTAAAATAAATCTTTAAAGAGTAAAAATAAAATAAAATTCTACTTTAGAACACTTATCAACGGCTTTATATCAAGCCATGTACACACACTTGCTTATTCAGCCTCCGCACACGCCAGCAGGTCTTGCAGACAAAGTATCTGAGGATGGGGAGAGGAAGTGAGCTGCCTCTAGGTAATCAGTCAGCAAAGTGACTCAGACAGGATTTGATCAGGTCACCTGACTAAGAAATGCACATTTAACTATTCACTCTCTCTGGCTATTTTTTTAAAAGGATATCATTTTGGAATATTAGTGATATAATTTTATTTAAGCAATGGTCAAAATATCTTCTAAACGTAATCTAACAGATGGGCTATTAAGAAGATACTGGGTCCAGTGTGATAGAATAGTGGCTCAAGTCCTTGCCTTGAATGTATCGGGATCCCATTTGGGCGCTGGTTCTAATCCCAGCGGCTCTACTTCCCTTCCAGCTCCCTGCTTGTGGCCTAGGAAGGCTGTCCAGGACAGTCCAAAGCCTTGGGACCCTGTACCTGCGTGGCAGACTGGAAGAGGTTCCTAACTCCTGGCTTCAGATTGGCTCAGTTCCAGCTGTTGTGGCAGCTCGGGGAGTGAACCATTGGACGGAAGATCTTCCTCTCTCTCTTCCTCTTTGTATATCTGCCTTTCCAATAAAAATAATCTCTCAAAAAAAAAAAAAAAAAAAAGAAAAAGCTACTAAGAAGGTTAAAATTCACATTGTAGCTTAAGAACTGTAGAATTCAAAAGAAAATGGGAATTACAAAGGAAGAACTTTTTCAAAAACGGAATAATCTGAAATTCTGAAAGTCTAGTTTCTGCTAAACAGGTAAATGCGGTCATCTAAGTCGTTTTATTTTGTTGTTGTTGTTTTAAAAAATTTATTTATTTTTATTGGAAAGTAAGATATACAGAGAAAAGGAAAGACAGAGGAGAGCTTCCGTCTGTTGATTTACTCCCCAAGCAGCCGCAATGACTGGTGCTGCACCGATCCAAAATCAGGAGCCAGGAACTACTTAGAGGTCTACCACGCAGCTGCAGTGTCCCAAGGCTTTTGGCCATCCTTGACTGCTTTCCCAGGCCACAAGCAGGGAGCTGGATGGGAACTGGGGCCATTGGGATTAGAGCTGGCGCCCATATGGGATCCCAGTGTGTGCAAGGTGAGGAATTTAACCACCATGCTACTATAATGGGTCCACATCATCTAAGTATAGTTTGCTATGGTTAAGAATGCACAACTTGGTCACTATCTGTGTAATAGTATAACTCTGCCCTAGTACATGTAACTGTAAGTTTTTTTTTTCCTAAATATTGATTTATTTTTATCTGAAAGGTAGATTTTCACAGATAGCAGATGGAAAAACTATCTGTGAAAATCTACCTTTCACTCCCCAGTAGCCACAGTGAGCAGAGCTCAGCTGAGCGCTCTTCCACATGGGTGCAGGGTCCAAGGCCTCACGCTATCCCTCCATTGCTTTCCCAGGACATACACAGGGAGCTGCATGGGAAGAGGAGCAGCTGGGAAGCTGGGACACGAACCAGCACCCTTATGGGATCCTGGCACTTGTAAACGGAGGATTGCTTGCTATCGTACCATTCCAGCCCTATGACTACTCTATTTCTGAGAGGGAAGATTTTATAATCGTTAAAGTACAACAGAATGTGTTGAATTAATTTTTAAAAATATTTTTACTAAAAGTTGAGGAATTAGGAAAAAGTAAACAACTTAATCTATTGACTGGATCATTAAACTTTTGGTATAGTTGATAGATCAGAGGCATTCCAACTCTAACAAGTCCTCGTGACCTACCTTTCGGCAGCATTGTTAAAATACTTGCCAAGGTAGCAAATAAACCTGGTGATTTTTTTTTTTTAAAGATTTATTTACTTATTGGAAAGTCAGATATACAGAGAGGAGGAGAGACAGAGAGGAGAATCTTCCGTCAAATGATTCCTTCCCCAAGTGACCACAACGGCCAGTGCTGCGCTGATTGAAAGCCAGGAGCCAGGAACTTCTTCCAGGTCTCCCACACGGGTGCAGGATCCCAAAGCTTTAGGCTGTCCTCAACTGCTTTCCCAGGCCACAAACAGGGAGCTGTATGGGAAGTGGAGCTGCCGGAATTAGAACCGGCGCCCATATGGGATCCTGGTGCGTTCAAGGCGAGGATGTTAGGTGCTAGGCCTCGCCGCCAGGCCCAAACCTGGTGATTTTTAAAACTTGACAATTTCATAATTATTATGAACATAAGGAAACAAAAATAATTAGATAAATCAGCAGGTATCCATCTACTTCTTGAGGAAAGGAGAAAGAAACTTGAGCCACTCATGCCCATCAAGGGGGCAGGCAGGCAGGCAGGCAGGCAGGCAGGCAGGTAGGCTGCACTGAGGAGCCGAGAGCCACCTCCACCACTCACCATTTCAAACAGCAGACGGACAAGCTTCTCTGACTCGCCTCGGTACTTGGAAGTCAGAGTTGATGAAGAGACATTGAAGAACGTTGTCTTGCATTCTGTAGCTACTGCTTTAGCAAGGAGGGTCTTCCCTGTGCCAGGTGGCCCAACCATCAGTACTCCCTATTGGGAACACAATACCGTAAGGAAACGACTCATTATACAGTACTAAGACAAATAAAGAGCAGGTAAGTAGAAAAGTATTTTAACACAAATTTATTTTTTCCATTACAAAAGGAAGACAATCACGTTATTACAAATTTGGAAATCAGAGATGAGAAAAAGTAGTTAATAATACTGATGCTCTGAGACAGGCATCACTGGCATCTGCCAAACTTTCTGCTCAAATCAGCTTTTTATCTGAAATAGTGCATGCAAGTATGTCTATTACATATCATTTAGCCTTTAAAGTATTTCTAAAATATCAGTTTGTGCAGGATTACCCATTACCACATTTTTCAAATCCAGGAAACATCTCTTCTCTTTTAAAGATTTATTTTTATAGGAAAGGCAGACATAAATAGAGAGAAGCAGAGACAGCAAGGAAGACCTTCCGTCTGCTGGTTCACTCCCCAAGTGACTGCAATGGCTGGAGCCAAGCTGATCCAGAGCCAGGAGCCTCTTCCCGGCTTCCCAGGCAGGCGTGTGGTCCCAAGGCACTGGGCCATCCCCGAATGTTCTCTCAGGTCATAAGCAGGGAGCTGGATGGGAAATGGAGCAGCTGGGACATGAACCGGCGTCCATATGGGATCCTGGGCGTGCAAGGTAAGGACTTCAGCCAGTAGGCTACTATGCCGGGCCCCTAAGAAACATTTTTGAGCCTCTTTTCAGATTAGCCCATGACTTTAAAAAGTACTCATTAAGGCTCAGTGACTCTGCACCTGCATAGGAGACCCGGAAGAGCTCCTGGCTCCTGGCTTTGGACTGGCTCAGCTCCAGCCGTTGCAGCCACTTGGGAGTGATCCATTGGATGGAAGATCTTCCTCTCTGTCTCTCCTCCTCTCTGTACATCTGTCTTTCCAACAAAAGTAAATAAATCTTTAAAAAAAAAAAGTACTCCTTAAATGTATACACTTTACATAAATTTCTTAAGATGGTAAGTTCTGTAACATGTTGTATAAAATGGAAGTTTTTTTGCATTAGATGAGGAGGCCTATCTACAAATGCATGATTATTCAAATCTGTTACGTAGTCCACCTCCTGAGATCAGATTGCATCTTTTTCTTCTGGGAAACTTGCAATAGTTTTTTACTTACATTTTAATTGAAAAGCTTAACTGCTCCATTTTTTCCTTACACTTTCCCCAACACAGATAATATGGGGTCTATCAATGTGGGGTGATTTGCTCTGATGATGCAGCCACTGTAAACTTACCTTCCACGGTCTCCTAATGCCCTTAAAAAATTCTGGCATCCACATTGGTAAGACCACAGCTTCCTTAAGCAACTTCTTAGCTTCTACTAAGTCAGCAATATCATCCCTGAAAGAGAGGAGCCTAATGAGCAATCCCTTTGGTTCTACATTTAACCACACAGAGCCCTGGAGCACCACTGAGCACAGGATCTCCCCCTGCTGGCACAGTGCTCGGCCGCTCTCCAGGCATTGCTGCCAAGTACAGTGGAAAGTCCTCCTGTCAACCAGTGCATCTAGAGTACAATCTACATCTTCAACGTGGGGCGCTATCAGCTCTTCAGCTTGGCTCAAGTGCTATCAAGTGTTAGCATGACATCTCAGTTGAAATGCCTGCCCTTGTGGTTCTCACTCCATAAGATTCCTAACTTAGAAACAATCAGTTTTTAAAAAAAACAAGAAAGCATACAGCAGAGACAGACAGTGACATTGCTGCTTTGCCCTGACTCTATTGGGCAGCAGATGAACAGGATCCTAGCGACTGCAGTGAGGTCATTCAGAAGCACCAGAACTCCTCAACTGCCGCTCCCCGGGGGAAATGCAAAGGCTTTGCATGGGTTAAATATCACATACCAAAAGTCAAAAAGAATTAAGTATTACCCAAAACTATGCCTAATTCTCACTAAGGTTCAAATAAAAAACATGTTAATAGAACATATGTAACACTGTGGAAAAGTTACTGTGATAATCTATAATCTTTTGTCCCCTAAATCAATGTCTCCTACTGCATGATTAAAATACACATCTCTGATTAGAAATATTAATAAAAAACCAACTGCTCTAATAAAAAATAAAAACATCTTGAGACTACTACCAATAACGTGGAACATCCATGCATTAAAATCATTGCCTCACCACTGGAAGCATATATCAAAAAATATCAAAAATAATGAAATCTCTAAAATCTTAATCTCATTTTGTGGAGAATTTATATACTAAAAAAAAAAAAAAATCAAGACAAAGGAATTGGTGCCGTTGGAAGCAAATGCACTTTCTGGCTCTCTGTCCTGCTCCGCTGTGTCCACTCTCAGCCTGCAGAGAGCCCTCAGGGAAAGCCGACATCCGCTCCGTGTTCGGCTCCCAAGGGCACCGGCAGCACTGCCTGTTGCAACGTGACTTACCATCGGACATTGGGATTCTGAGAAATTATGTCTCGTTCCAGAGCTTCCACTAAGTCCTTGTCGTATCCGGTACTATCAAATCTACTTGTCTCTGGCTCTGTAACTGCTGCAGGTGATTTGTTCTGTATAGGAAAAAAAAAAAAAGGACTGACTCAAAATTATATTTTCTGCCTGTAAGAGAGAAGCAAAAATTGGATTCAACTGATATTCTTTGGAAAGCTAATACAATACAAATGATGAGAATAATATCAAAGACCCTAGGTCTTCTTCCATCAACAGTTTCATATTCAATTTTCACTTTTATTAAAATACGGTAGCCTGCCGGCTAGAGTCCTTGCCTTGTATGTCGGGATCCCATGTGGACATCGGTTGTAGTCCTGGCGACCCTGTTTGCCATCCAGCTCCCTGTTTGTAGCCTGGGAAAGCAGTCAAGAACAGCCACAAGCCTTGGGACCCTGTACCTGCATGGGAGACCCAGAAGAGGCTCCAGGCTCCCAGCTTCAGATTGGCTCACTCTGGCCACTGCAGTCACTGCGGGAATGATTCATTGGATGGAGGATCTTTCTCTATATATCTGATTTTCTAGTGAAAATACAATACATTTTTAAAAAATATATGACTACTGCATTAAAGGAAAGTAACAAAAAAAGCCATGCATATGAACTGGCTGGCATCACAAAATTTATATGGAGATAGTGAATGCTACTAAAATCAGTCCTTTAATTGTCCCCCTAATCCTCCTAAAGAAACAGCTTAGGCCTGAGGTGGGACTCCTCTCAGGTTGCATGATGAGGGTCACTGGGGCCAGATCCCACACTTCACTGAAGTACCCAGGGCACCACGGCAAATTCACAAGGCACTGTGGGAAAGTTCAATTTTTTGAGAGAAATATAGCCTCAAACCGCTGAGCACTATATAAGCAAGTTACCTGCTAGAAATAATTCACAGTTCCTAAATTAAGACTATTATCAGACCCGCGTGGTAGCCTAGTGGCTGAAGTCCTCCCCTTGAATCTGCCAGGATTCCATATGGGCGCCAGTTTGTATCCCAGCTGTTCTACTTCCCTTCCAGTTCCCTCTCTTATGGCCTGGGAAAGCAGTCCATGGTGGCCCGAAGCCTTGGGACCCTGCACCTGCATAGGAAAACCAGAGGAATCTCCTGGCTTCTGATCGGCTCAGGGCTCAGTTCCAGCTGTTGCAGCCACTTGGGAGTGAGCCAGTGGATGTAAGATCTTCCTCCCTGTCTCTCCTTCTCTCTGTAAATTTCCCTTTCCAATAAAAATAAATAAATAAATAAACAAACAAACAAATACTACAATCTAAGGAAGTAGGGGGGGCTCAGGGAAAGACTACTATTTCCTTTCAGTAATGGCCAACTGTTGTGAATCTGGTTATTTGTCAGTTTCTGCAATGACAGGTATGGTAATTGGATGGCATTACGGCATAACAGCCAATGATGGTACCCCATGTGGGTGCCAGTTTGATTTCTGGCTGCTCCACTTCTCACTCAACTTCCTGCCAGTGTGCCTGGGAAAGCAGTGGAGGACAGACTCTACACTCATATGAATGACCTGGAAGCAGTTCCTGACTTCAGGCCATCCCAGCGCCACACTTGCAGTCATCTGGGGAGTGGGCCAGCAGAGGATTTCTGTCTCTACCCTACTCTCTGCAACTCTGCCTTAAAAAAAACCCAAACAGAGGTTTGGCTGGCAAGGTGGTGCCACAACTAATTCTCGTGCTGTATCACCAGTATCCCATGAACTTTACTCAGTATCCCAGGTGCTCTACTTCCAGTTCAGCTTCCTGCTTGTGGTCTGGGAAAGCAACAGAGGATGGCCTAAAGCCTTGGGCCCCTGCACCCAAGTAGGAGACTCAGATAAGGCTCCTGGCTTTGGATCAGCTCAGCTTTGACCACTGTGACCAAATGGAGAGTGAACTAGCGAATGGAAGACCTTCTCTCTCTCTCTAACTCTGTCTTTCAGATAAATAAAAACGGGTGGAAGTGTGTGTATGTAGAAGTTTAGATTCTTTTTAGCTATTCTTTTTTTCCACATACATGTGTCCTAAAAGTACATTATACTCATTGAGCTAATTCAATAAAATCCTATTATAGCAATCAATATTTGAAATTCCACACCTTCCTTTGACCTTTCACAGCAAAATGGCTTAACACTGTGTTCTAAGGGAGAAGAAGAAAGAGAACTCCAAGTGCCTTTTGCCGTGTCCTCCTTGGCTTATACTGTACATCGCTGACCATCAGAGGCAGCCTTCTTTCTGTTCCTCATTGCTGCCAGCACACAGCAGGGCGCTGTCCATTCTCTGCAAATGAAGAACAGCACCAACCCCTGCTGGCTCCTTTCTCTGCTTCAAAATAAAGGTTCAGATGGGCTAACGAACAGGGGGATAAGTCACTGTGCTTAATCATAAACATAAAATTCATTTCCTCAAAAGAGAAAATTAAAAACGCTAGCTAGGCTTTCACTTGCAGGAAAATGGAGTAGGTGGACTTTTCACTATTCCTTCCATAGAAACAGAACTAAATGCCTGGCCGTTAAGCATAAAAGAAAGAGGAAAAGATTCCAAAAGGTGTAGAGAAGGCAGCAGAGCCACTAGGGAACTCAGCCATGGTGCACATTCCCACGGTGTTCTTTTTCTTTCACATATGGAGGCTTGGGTAGAAGAAGCGACAACGTGGAAATACCAATATGGGCAAAGAAAAAAGCACCCAAGGCCTGGCACCGTGGCCTAGCGCCTAAAGTCCTCATTTTGAAAACGCCAGGATCCCATACGGACGCCGGTTCCAATCCCGGCAGCTCTACTTCCCATCCAGCTCCCTGCTTGTGGCCTGGGAAAGCAGTCGAGGACAGCCCAAAGCTTTGGGACCCTGCACCTGCGTGGGAGACCTGGAAGAAGTTCCTGGATCCTGGCTTCGGATTGGCATAGCATCGGCTGTTGCGCTCACTTGGGGAGTGAATCATGGGACAGAAGATCTTCCTCTCTGTCTCTCCTCCTCTCTGTATATCTGACTTTGTAATAAAATAAATAAATCTTTAAAAAAAAAAAAAACCTAGATTTCTCCCTCCACCTGCCAACAACAATGCTGCTACTCTCCCTGTCAAAGTGCTATAAGTTTGCTAAATAGAACATCAGAGTCTCAAAGTGTGAAAACATCTAGGTTTCAATAGGAAAGCACAAACTCCAAACTAAGACCCCAAACTAAATGAAAAAAAGACTTAGAAGATGCCAAAGGGGTGGTGCTGTGGTAGAGCAGGCTTATCATTTGCTGACAGCCACGACATTCCATATGGGTGCTGGTCTGTGTCACAGTTGCTCCACTTCCCTTCCAGCTCCCTGCTTACAATCTAGTAGGGAAAGCAACAGGGCATGTCTCAAGTTCCTGGACCCCCGTACCCATATGGGAGACCTGGAAGAAACTCCTCACTCCTGGCTATGAATAGGCTCAGCTCTGGCCCTTGCAGTCATTTGGGGAGTCTGTCTCTCCTTTTCTCTGTAAATCAAACTTTCAAATAAAAATAAATAAAAATTAATATTAAAAAAATTTTAATGTCAAGACCAAGAAGACAGAGATTGTAGAGTTTTCTGACAGTTTTGAGGCTTTAAATGCTTCAATGCATGATGATGAATATTCTTGAGATAAATGAAAGCAGAAAGCTTCAGAACCAAAAAGGAGATGCCAAAACATTATTATTAGGCTTCTGAAGATCAAAGACAAAGGCAGCTATGGAAAACCAATGCCTCACTCATAGAGAAAAACAATTCTAATGAAAGCAGACTTCTTAAAAATCAAAGGGACAGGTCCCAGTGCTGTGGCCTAGTGGCTAACGTCCTCGCCTTGAATGCGCCAGGATCCCATATGGGTGCCGGTTCTAATCCCCACAGCCATGCTTCCCATCCAGCTTCCTATTTGTGGCCTGAGAAAGTAGTAGAGGACAGCCCAAAGCCTTGGGACCCTGCACCAGTGTGGGAGACCTGGAAGAGCTCCTGGCTCTGGATCGGTGCAGCACCAGCTGTTGTAGTCACTTGGAGAGTGAATCATCGGATGGAAGATCTTCCTCTCTATCTCTCCTCCTCTCCATATATCTAAGTTAGCAATAAAAATAAATAAATCTTTTTTTTAAAGATTTATTTTTATTATTTTTTCATTGGAAAGGCGGATATACAGAGAGGAGAGACAGAGAGGAAGATCTTCCGTCACATGATTCACTCCCCAAGTGAGCCGTAACGGTCGATACTATGCCGATCCGAAGCCAGGAGCCTCTTCCGGGTCTCCCGCGCGGGTGCAGGGTCCCAAAGCTTTGGGCCGTCCTCGACTGCTTTCCCAGGCCACAGGCAGGGAGCTGGAAGGGAAGCGGGGCTGCCGGAATTAGAACCGGTGCCCATATGGGATCCCGGGCGTGCAAGGCGAGGACCTTTAACCACTTGCGCCACTGCGCCGGGCCCTAAATAAATCTTTTTTTAAAAAATCAGCGGGGCTAAGAGAATACATGTAAACAATATTAAAACGAAAATTTTAAAAAATAGCAGACCAGAAAAGACAAATGCTGAGGAAATGTTCACATTTAAACTAGCCTAGTGGACCATCAGGATCACTCCAGAAATCCCTTAAAACAAACTAACAAACTAACAAATAAACAAACAAACAAAAACCCCTAGAATAGATGGAGAACAGCAAGGAAAGCTTAGAAACAGGAAACGGGCAGTGGGGATGCACTTATAACTCACTGGGTGGGACACGAAGATTGGTTGCTCCTCACTAGGGTATTGAGGATTTCTCTGCACACCCCTCCTAACACTATTCACCTAAATTGTTGACATATGTCTTGTTAGAGTTATAGTTATAGCGTTAGACTACCCAAAAAACAGCCAGGTTCTGCAAAAGCATGCTTCAACGCTATGAACTGCTAAATACTAAAATTAAAATAGACATGAGACAGCTGAATAGTAATCTATAGCCATTTTAAGGTGTATAGAACCCAGCTGTATATAAACTAATAATTGTAATGTCAACGTAGAAGTCATAGGATGTGGTTCAGAACTTGCACTCTTTTTTTTTCTCTCTCTCTCTCTTTTAACATGCTGGTTACACAATACCATGTCAACTAATTGCATTCCGTTATAAATTGTTACTGATGTAATGTCGGGGCTTTTAATTGATTGGGATGATACTCTGTTGGCTCTACCTTCAGACCAGAGATGGTTTCCCCATGAAACTGTTGAACTTATCTGGACAATAAGATGCTGGACTCTATGCTTTGTAGATGCTTGCAAGGAAATAATCTCAACTGAATTTGACCTGTGGTAATGCAACAAGATGGAAGAATCCACCATAGAGGGGGAGTGGGTTTTGGGGAGGGGAGAGGGGAATCCCAGTGCCTGTAAAACTGTGTCACATAATGCAATGTAATCAATTAAAAAAAATTAATTAAAAAAAATAAACTAGCCTAGTGGCATATGACAAATAAATGTAATCTGTCCTTCTATAAGGTCCAGGTGATAATAGGGAGACCTGCAAATGACAGGGACAAGTGACAACACTTGATTAATCTGAGGATTAGTTAACAATTCTACATCAACTTGAAATTTCTACCTTGGAGAACTTTGTGTTTACATAAAAGAATGTCCCAATAGTTAGGATGTAAACAGTGAAATTCTGATGGGTAAAGGAGAATTTCATGTACAACTAACCCTCAATTTAGAGAAAGAATGGTATTTTTTAAAGTGTAATGAAATATACACAAAATTGAAATGAAAGGGGAGAGTATGAGGGATTAAAAACCACTAGGGATGCTGGCGTGGTAGCCTAGGGGCTACCCGCCTTGCATGCACTGGGATCCCATAAGGGTGTCGGTTTATATCCCAGTGGCCCTGCTTCCCATCCAGCTCCCTGCTTGTGGCCTGGGAAAGCAGCAGAGGACGGACCAAGGCCTTGGGATCCTGCTCCTGCATGGGAGACTGGAAGAGGTTCCTGCCTTCTGGTTTTGGATCAGCTCAGCTCCAACCTTGAGGCCTCTTGGGGAGTGAATCAGTGGACAGAAGATCTTCCTCTCTGTCTCTCCTTTTCCCTATATATCTGCCTTTCCAATAAAAACAAATAAAACTTTTAAAAAAAATCACTACAACTAGGCAAAGAATATATGCAAATTCCTGATCCCATTCCTGTGACTTATCTGCCAATCTGAAATGACATAACAATACAGAGTTACAAACAATAGCCAAAAATATCTGTTGAATTATAAGTGGGAAAAATCCCACCCTAAGAGTAGTGTGGCGAAGGTTTTGTGACAACACTTGCAAACTGATCAAAACATGCGCAGTCTTCTTATCGTGGTTTATAAAGACCTCATTTATGAAAACCAGTAACATTTATTTCACCTTTTCCTCTCTTGCTTTATTCTGTTCTTTCTTTTCACGACTACGCACAGCTTTCCCTTTGTCACTGTGCAGATTCTGTGCAGGTGGACGGTGGATTCTGACAGCTGTGCTTGGCCGGTTACCATGTGGTTTGGGCTCGCTGTACTGAGGAGACTGGCGTTTCCTAGGTCCTGGTGACGGTCTATGCAAACACAAGATATTAAAGTCATAAGCTACTCCAGATGCTGGTCTAAATACGACTAAACACACGTGGTGTTTACATTAGCCTCTGAACAAAAGATGTCAAGGCAGTAACTGAACAGACTGCAGGAAATTGAGACTGAGAATCTAAAATTTGAATCTGATATATCTGCTCTGGGGATTTAATGACAAGAATACCTGACAATTATATTACAGAAACAGTAAGAGGAAAATAATGATTACCACTGCTTAGAAACGAAATTGTTACTATCTATCAAAGATAAATGAAAAATGAAGGCTTGGTAGAAACTGAAAAGGGAATAATCATAATTGACACTAAATTCACACTTATCCACTGGCATGTGATCAATTTGATACTGTTTTATTTAGAAATTATTGTAATTCTAGTTTTAATGAATAAAGTCTATGCATTTTCCAATCTAGGATGTATGGATGGTGGCTCTCTTTTGTACCATTGGATAAAAGATCTCTTCTTGTCTCTCCCTCTTACAAGTAACTAAATTTAAAGCACTGATCCTCCTAAAACTGCTTCAGTGGACTCAGCTATCTGCTGGTTCACTCCCCAGCTGAAGTTGGGAGCAAGAACTCAACCTAGCTCTCCCACATGGGAGGCAGGAATCCAGTTACCGATGCTATCACTGCTGCTCTCAGGATCCCATCAGCAGGAAACTGGAGGCGGAGCTAGAGCTGCCAATCAAACCCAGGTACTCTGAGGTGGAGCACAGGCATCTTAATCACAGCCTAAATGTTCCCTCTGACCAGCCAACAATTTAAAAGATGCTTTTAAAAATTCATAGCTAGTCACACTAAACTACTTCTAACTTAATTTCTGGACCTCCCTGCAGTCACAATTGTGAAAAGAGAAATAATCAGTTGAAATCTTATTAAAAAATTATTTATTTTAAAGGTGGGAGGGGAGAGGAAACAGAGTGTTCCATCTGCTTGTTCTTGCCCCAAATGGCTGCAAGGGTCAGGCGGAAGCCAGGAGCCAGGAGCTACATGCAGGCCTCCCACCTGGGTGTCAGAGGTCCAAACACTTGGGCTCCCTGTTGCTCCTTTCCCAGGTGCATTAGCAGATAGCAGCCGCGATATGAACTGGTGTTCATACACAATGCCAGTGTCACAGCTGGTAGCTTACCCTGATACACCACCCACAATGCCGGCCCCTGAACCTGTTCTTTAAAGGGACTATCACTTAGGTGATTAACACTGAGAATCACCAACACAGCTGAACTACAAATGAGGACAAACAGAGAAGTAATAGTTTTGAAAGACAGGCAGTTAGAGAAGTAAGTTAAATATATTATAAGCAGCAGAGATATGCAAAAATTAAAGTCAAAGATGAGAACTTGACAGTAATTAAGAGTATTCAAAATCTGGGATAGGAAAAGAGATCAAAGAAATCAAGAAATGGGGTCAACATGGTGGTACATGATGCCAGCACCACACACCGCAGTTCCCAATTCAGCCTTCTGGGAACGCTGCTGGGAAAGTGGAGGACGATGGCCCAAGTCCTCAAGTCCATGCTACTCATGTGGGAGACTCAGACACAAAACATGGCTCCTGACTTCGGCCTGGCTTAGCTTCTAGCTGTTATAGACATTTTGGAAATGAATTAATGGATGGAAGATTTGTGTGTCACTCTTTTTTAAAGATACATTTATTTATTTATTTGAAAAGCATACATCTTATAGGATCCTAGGATGACATCAAGTAGTGATTTCCAGTCTCTGGGTCTTGATGTGGCTACCCTGCAGGCAGCAGCCCTCTCCCCTTCTCTTCCCTCTTCCCCAAGATACAAGAAGCAAAAAAATAATAAACAAAAAAAATTTGAAGTAATTGTTCCATCCACTTTCCCCCATTCTTCAACCTTTCCAACCTTAATCAGTGGTCCACATGAGCATACATTGTCCTCAACTATGTAAACATCATCAAAAATAAACAATTTATTATTTTAAAAAATCATAGAAAAGAGAAAGAAGAAGATAGCTGGACATCACGGCATTGCAAATTAAATCACTGCCTACGATGCCAGTGCCCAGACAAGCAGTGAGGCCAGTCCAAGATGCGCCACTTCTATTCAGCAGAAGATGGTTCAGGTCTTTGAATTTTCATCACTTACACTGAAGAGGTAGATGAAACTCTTAGCTCTCTATTTAGCTGGGGAGCAAATTATAGAATGAAAGATCTTTCCAAAGGTAATGTTAAATCTGGAAAAAGTTTTATTTGCAAATATGCACTACCATTTTACTTATAATAAGCAAAGGGAGGGGCTGTGGCTGCATGGGTTTATCTTCTACCTGCAAGCACCAGAATGCCACATGCGAGCTGGTTCACGCCCTGACTGCTCCACTTCCTATCCAGCTCTCTGTTATGGCCTGGGAAAAGTAACAGAGGATGGCTTAAGTCCTTGGGACTCTGTACCCATGTGGGAGACCCTGAAAAAGTTCCTGATTCCTGGCTTCAGCTCAGCTCAGCTCTGGCTGTGGTGGCCATTGGGGAGTGAACCAGTGAATGAAAGATCTTTGTTTCTCCTCCTTATAAATTTAATATGCCCTTTCAAATAAATAAATAAATCTTTTTTTAAAAAAAAAAAACTACTACAGAGGTCACATTCCACTCAGAAGAGCCAACAATGCTTTAAAAAACCACAGAGGGAAAAGTTTTATATTGCTTTCAAATCATTAATATTAAGAATATCAAATGATTTTCTCAGCTTAAGTTTTCTTCATCAGAAGCTGAGGCTTAAATACATTTTTGCAGCTACCTTCCATGATTACTTTGAGAATTAAAACAGTGTATTTAAGGCAGCTTGCCACAGCTTGCCTACGTAAGGATGCATTGCTTATTTGCTATGTACTGGAATGTTCATGGTTGAGTGTCTGGCCCTAGTGCTTAAAATGAGGACTAGGATACCAGTTTCCCTCTTTGGGGTGCCTGGGTTTGATGTTGGCTGTGGATCCCCACACCAGCTCCCTGGCAGAGCACACCCCAGGAGACAATGCTGATGGCCCTGAGGACAGGTTTTCTGTCACCTCTGGGGAAAAGTGGATGTGTTTGTGGTATGCAGCTCTGTCCCCAGCTCAGGGCCTTGTGGGCATCTGAGGAGTGCTCAGCAGACATCAGCTCTGTCTTGTCTAACTCTGAAATAAAATTTTTTAAAAAATTTAAAGCATGGGTGCACCTACTACTAATTTTTGTATCTTTTTTCCCATTAGGTTTATTTTTAATTTCATGATACAATTCCATGAGCTCTGGGATTTCCTTTACTCTCTCTAAATTTCCTCCCCTCAACTGATTTCCCCATATTATTACAACAGTATAGCCCTTCAGAAGCAGTCCTCAGCCCATCATTCTGCTATTTAAGGCACACTTCCTTTTTTTAGGATATATTAATTTGGCTATTTATTGGAATTTATTGGCTATTTATACAGAGAGAAATATCTTCTGTCTGCTAGTTCACTCCCTAAGTGTCTATAATGTCTGGAACTGAGCTGAGCTGAACTGAGCAGAACTAAGCCAAGCTGAGCCAATTTCAGGAGCCAGGAGTGTCTTCCGGGTCTCCCACAAGGGTGCAGGGTCTCAAGGCCCTAGACCATCCTCTACTGCTTTCCCAGGCCACAGGCAGAGAGCTAGATGGAAAGTGGAGCAGCCTGGATAAGAACTGGTACTCATATGGGATCCCGGTGGATGCAAAGTGAGGACTTCAACCACTAGGCTATTGTGCTAGTAGTGAAAAAAAACCAAGGGGGTGTCTATAATGGATACAGTACAACTATAACCACAAAAGCTAAGCAATGTATAAAACACCAAAAGAAAATAAACCAATTTCCCTACTAGTTCTATGCATTTTTCTAGCTTTCATTAGTTAGCCTACAATCCTTGCTTTAGTGAATAAAGACAGAAAACAAAACATAATTCTATCTGGAGCTTAAGAAAATTTACATGGGCTATGAAGCAACCCATTCTCATCTGCTCATCTAAAGTGTCAGAAACACTCTGGGACAGTGCCGCCTGCATCACGATGAGCATCGGTGGATCCCTGGGCTCCACCTACTATACCAGACCCAGGCAGTGATGCCCAATGCCCTGATGTACCTATTTTTGAAAGGCAGAGAACAAAAGACAGACACAGAGATCTGCTGTCTGCCGATTCACTCCCCCCAATGCCTGCAACAACCACAACAGAGTCAGGCTGAGGCCAGGAGCCAGGAACTCAATCTGGGTATCCCTTAGGGCCACGGGGGTCACAGGAGTCCAACTACCTAAAGCCAGCCCACTGCCTCCAGGTTGTAGGAACCTGGAAACAGAAGTGGAGCCACTCTGATACAGGTTGTAGGCACCCAAAGTGTCATCTCTACTGTCAGGCCCAATGCCAGCCCCAAAGCTCATTTTTTATTAGTGTCCCAAGAGACTGTTCTGAATATCTATAATATTTGAGAAGGACCATTACATCAGAGTGCCAACTGACATTGTTATTATAAAATATAAAGTATCTGAGTTCAAATTCCAGTTATAGAGTTACTAACTTAGTGATACTGAAGAAAAGTCACCTACACTCAGCTCTCTCATCTTATTCATAAGGATAAACATGGCTTAAATAAAAGGCTCATTGTGAGAAATAAATGAACACATGTAGCCTAAAATAGTGCTCATAACACTTTGGGTGCTAAGTATTCAGCTCCTATTATTACAAAATAAAATCCAAAGTTAACAGTTACAGTGACAGAATGTTAAACTGGAAAACCTCTGAACAACATCACTTTCTCATTAGAAAGCAAAAGACTGCTGCACTCATGGGCTTGACACAACGACTGAGCGGCTAAATCCTCGCCCTGCATGCTCTGGGATCGCATACAGACACGGGGTTCGTGTCCCGGATGCTCCACTTCCTGTTCAGCTCCCTGCTTGTGGCCTGGGAAAGCAGTCAAGGACGGCCCAAAGCATCGGGACCCTGCACCCACGTGGGAGACTCAGTAGAAGCTCCTGGCTTCTGACTGGTTCAGCTCCAGCCATTGTGGCCACTGGGGGGTGAACCAGCAGATGAAAGATCTTTCTGTCTCTCCTTCTCTCTGTAAATCTGCCTAATGAATAATCAATCAATATTAAAGAGAGAGAGAGAGAGAAAACCTGCATTCACAGCCTGCATTTCAAGACCCATAAGTCATGTGCAGCCACAGTACTAAGAAATCTATTATGTGAAAATGTTAACAGGAATCTAACTGCTACTTGTTAAAAAAATAAGCATCATTTTACAGAATTTTAGCAAATATAATTTTCACTAATTGCTCATTTGCAGGTTCTCAGTAGGAAGAAGCAAGGGACAGGTATCTGAAAAATCTGAAAATTTAGAATACCTTATCCTTTATTTCTACGAATTGAAAAAAACATATTTCAATTTTAGCAGCTGAACGGTTTAAAGGTAGTATTCCAGAACACCTTGTTTGAAAACCAGTTGGTCCAACCACCTTATAAGAAAAATCTAAAGCCCAGAAAAGTTACAATATTTCTAAAAGGCTACATAGAGAAGCAAACACAGGAACAAAGCCCAATACTTCAGTTCTCAGCCCCATTCTCCTTCAAAAAGGGAATGTCTTGCCTACTTCCACATAATTCATAAAAGAATATTTTTAAATTATTTCCATAAGTTTATTTATCCATATAGGTCACAGAGCTGTGTTGGTGATATAGTGGTGAGCACAGCTCCCTTCCAAATAGGTCACAGAATCACTTGATATAAAACTCCAGGTTCGGGCCTGGTGGAGTGGTGTAGTGGTTAAAGTCCTCGCCTTGAACGCGCCAGGATCCCATATGGGTGCCAGTTCTAATCCCCACAGCCCTGCTTCCCATCCAGCTCCTTGCTTGTGGCCTGGAAAAGCAGTCAAGGACAGCTCAAAACCTTGGGACCCTGCACCCGTGGAGGAATTTCCTGGCTCCTAACTTCTGATCCACACAGCACCGGCCAATGCGCTCACTTGGGGAGTGAATCATTAGACGGAAGATCTTTTCTCTGTCTCTCTTCCTCTCTGTATATCTGCCTTTCCAAAAAAGAATTTTTAAAAAAATCTTAAAAAAAAAAAAGAAGAAACTCCAGGGTCATAAACAGATATTCATAAACAAACAAACAAACAAAAAACCCTTCCCCCCTTCCCCTTCCTGGTTCTCAGTTGCATAGTCTCCATCTAGATGTAACCACTGCTGACTTCTGAATGCACTGGTTTCCTAAAGGCCCACTCACCTTCGTTCGACAGGTACGGGTAAGGACCAGACTTCTCCCTCGGAAGCTGGAAGCTCATGCTGTGCTGCTTTCAAGGGCGTGCTGTCCAGTTTAAAACTCTCTAGGGTTTTCATGATCTCCTTCACATGCTTTGCCTCCACATTGATTTCCTGCCACACCTGGATTCAAAGGAGAGTAAGCGCTTTAAATTTCTACAACTTACAAATCACTAAATCACTACTCAGATTTGACTATGGCATTCATTAGAGATGTCAAAAGCCCTGAATTTGATACTAGGTGTTGAATAAACCACACCAGCATATTCTGTCAAATTTTCACAGTGGTTTTTTTCTTTTCTTCAGTTGCAAAATCATTCTGATAAAATGAATTTAATACCTTGCATAATTAAAACATGTGACTTGTGATCCTCATTCAAATAGCTAACACAATTAAAAAGTAGCTATAACTTTAAAATTTGACAAATACAAAATTTTCAGAGGTTGTACTTAACTGGTTTCCGTGCTACTTCAGTAGTTTTTAAAATGCTGTTTAGAATTCACTAATAATATCACAGCACAGTAATGAATCACAACCTTCAGGAGCAAAGGCCTCAATTTATACACAAGCAATATTAAAAAAAACAACAACATTCATATGAAAGCTGGAATTAGAGAGGGACAGAGATTTTCCATCTGTTGGCTTAGTCCCCAAATGGCCACAACAGCTAGGACTGTGCCAGGCGGAAGCCAGGAGATTCTTCTAGGTCTCTGGGTGGGTGAGGGGTCCAAGGACTGGACCATGTCCTGCTGCTGTCTCAGCCACTCGAGCAGGGAGCTGGGGGGAAGCAAAGCAATCAGGACACAAACTGGGCCACACGCAATGCTGCTGTCATAGCAAGTGGCCTTAGCCTGATACACCACAACACTGGCCCCAACCAAGACTTTTTTTTTTTCTTTTAATTACTTTTATTTACTTCAGAAACAGAGATACAAAGAGAGGAGAAAAGAGAGCACATATTCACATCAGCTACTTCAGTCCTCAAGCCTCTGCAAGTCTCCTGAGAAGCCACACTGTGGGCCTGGGTGTCCTAACCAGTGTCTTCACCAGAGGACAGACCCACACCAAGCCATTTCCCCGAAAGCGTCATGGCTCAATTTGAAAACGGAGGCAGAGATACACATGCATCTAAGGCAGATGCTTAGCCTAGCAGTGAGATGCTGGTTATAACACTGAAGTCCCACATCACAACACCTGAATTTAACAAATGTTGCTCCCGGCTCAACCTTCTGCTCCTGCGAACCCAAGGAGGCAGACGATGGCTCAAGGAACTGGGTGACTGCCACCTATGGAACAGACCCAGATGAAACTCTAGGCTGCTGGTATCAGGCTGACTCAGCCCTGGCATTTGCATATTTCTGGGAGCACACAACCAAATTTATCCTCCCTAACAAATAAAAATATATTTATTTATAAAATGATTGTACAAACACAAATGTACTCAGCACTACTAAAGTGTACACTCATATTTCATGTTATATATTTTACCACAATAGAAAAACTGGGAAAGGGCCAGGGCGACAGCTTAGCAGCTAAAGTCCTTGTCTTGAATGTACCAGTACCCTATGTGGCTGCCAGTTCTAAATCTGGCAGCCCTGCTTCCCATCCAGCTCCCTGCTTGTGGCCTGGGAAAGCAGTTGAGGATGGCCCAAAGCTTTGGGACCCTGCACCTGCGTGGGAGACCTGGAAGAAGTTTCTGGATCCTAGCTTCGGATTGGCACAGCATCAGCCATTGCGCTCACTTGGGGAGTGAATCATCGGATGGAAGATTTTCCTCTCTCTCTCTCCTCCTCTCTGGGTATCTGACTTTGCAATAAAAAAAAATAAATAAATAAATCTTAAAAAGAAAAGTTAAATGAGATTGCTTCCTGGCCTTCTGGTCAAGAACAAGTGTAAAAAGTTAAGTGAGGGGTCAACTCTGTGATGAGGAGACTAGCCCAGGCCTGTACACATCCCACACAGGCACTGGTTTTTTGTTCCATTTTCTCCACTTCCGATGCAGCTCCCTGACAGAGGCCTGGAAAAAGCAGCAAAAAATGGCCCAGGTGTTTGGACCCTTGCTACCCACAGGGGAGACTCAGCTGATCCTCTGGCTTTGGCTGACCATTACGGCCAGTGGATGGAAGCTCGTGCTTTCTCTCTGAAACTTTTTCAAATAAATGAAAAAATCCTTAAAAAAAAGCCTAATTTTTTTTCCCACAAAATTTTAGGCCTTTTAAAGTATATATAACTAGTCTAACAAGAAAACATCTAAAAAAGTCTTTTAGTGACAAAACTATCACACTAACACTTCTTATGAGATGAATGTATTCTTCTGATACTGTAAAAGATATGGTTCCTGGGCCCGGTGCAGTGGCCTAGTGGCTAAAAGTCCTCATCTTGAACACTCCGGGATCCCATTTGGGCGCCGGTTCTAATACCCGCAGCCATGCTTTCCATCCAGCTCTCTGCTTGTGGCCTGGGAAAGCAGTTGAGGACAGCCCAAAGCCTTGGGACCCTGTACCCGCATGGGAGACCTGGAGGAAGTTCTTCCTCTCTGTCTGACCTCCTCTCCGTATATCTGACTTTGCAATAAAAAGAAATAAATCCTAAAAATATGCTGTGGCAGCGTTAGAGAAAGAGGTCATGTTAAAGACACAGGGCAATTTTTTCTCTTTTAAAGGACGAATACAGAATAACATAAAGAAAGCATTTCAATAGAATTGGAAGCATTAATGGTCCAACTAAAAAAATATACAGTTTTCTTCTTAAAGATGTATTTATTTTATTGGAAAGATTTACAGAGAGAAAGAGAGACAGAAAGATCTTGTACCCTGTGGTTCACTCCCCAAGTGGCCACAACGGTCGGAGCTGAGCTGATCCAAAGCCAGAAACTTCTTTCAGGTCTCCTGTGCGGGTGATACAAGTAGGGGTGCGTTTAACTGTTCTAAGACTATGGTCTTTGGAATCACTGTGTGCTTCCAAATTAGAAGTCTTGATTTAAAGAAAGAAGAAAATCACCACACAAATAAACTTGGCATTTTAAAAAATTTTAAATAATTGATAAGGAAGACACCCTAAGAAGTTTAATTCTCATGTGTTGTTTTTTAATGTGTGCATAATTCTAATCAAAACTTCCTGAATTCCTAACGAATGATTTCAAAAATTATTACATCATTGATAGTCACAGACTAAATACATACAAGGTAAGACATGTCAAAATATGTGTATTTTGATTCAGAAATTGAAACAGGTATAGAAATGGAAACATACATAAATCTCACTGGTGAAAATCATATATAAGCATGGATGTTTATAATGAAGACAACACTGTAATTATGGTATATGATTTATTTTTAGCCCTAATATAATAAATGAAAAAATAACAATATGTTAATTGATACATAATATAAAAGTAAGCAAATTCTGACTACAGAAACTAAAACTATGGCAGAGTTGGGAGTGCTAAAAGTTTTGTTTTTTTAAGATTTATTCTTTTTGTGGGAAAGGCAGATTGACAGAGAGGGAAGACTGTGGGAAAGACCTTCCATGCACTAGTCCACTGCCCAAATGGCCATAAAAGCTGGAAGCTGAACTGATCTGAGACTAGGAGCCAAGAGCTTCTTCCAGGTCTCGCACATGGGTGCAGGCTCCCAAGGCTTTGGGCCGTCCTCGACTGCTTTCCCAGGCCACACGCAGAGAGCTGGATTGGAAGTGCAGCATCTAGGATATGAACCGGCACTCATATAGGATCCCAGTGTATGCAAGGCAAGGACTTTAGCTACTAGGCTACCATACCGAGCCCAAAAAATCAGTTTTTAAGACAATTAAGGAATTGTTCATAGTGAAGTAAGCCTACACTCACAGTGTATATCTCATTTGGGTGCTGGTTCATATTCCGTCTATTCTACTTCCAATCCAGCTCCCTGCTGAAGAGCCTGGCAAAGCAGCAGAGGATGGCCCAAGTGTTTGGACCCCTAGACTCACATGGGAGACTTGAAGAAGCTGCTGGATTCTGATCAGCTCAGCCCTAGCTATCACGGCAATTGGGATAGCAAATTAGTGGGCAGAAGATCTCTCATTCTCTCTGTAGCTATGCTTTTTCCAGAAAAAGATAACATAACATAACATAACATAACATAACATAACATAACATAACATAACATAACATAACATAACATAACAACATAACACAACACAACACAACACAATCAAAAAATAAAAAGCAGGCCAGCGTCTTACCTGTTGCCATTTCTGCTGGAGGTAAGCATCTTTGACTGAGTACAGATACTTGTTCATTTGGTCAAGAACTCCCTGATAATAGACCATGGCAGAGTCATAGTTTCCCAGCAACGCATATTCACGAGCCAATTTTACATTCTCACTAATCATAAGAAGACTCATGCTCAACTGTAGGCTAAAAAAATAAAAAGAAGAAGCAGCATGTTCATATTGTGTGTCTCTTAAAAACAAGTTCCACAAAGCTTTCAAAAGCATACCTCCCAGGGCTCCAGCAAGATACTCACAACCACACGTACTTCACTTCCCACCTCTCCAAGTTAGCTCTTGTATTTCCACTCCTTCAGAATGGATCCTCTGCTGTCTGATCCCAAAATGCCCAAGCATCAAGGCCCAGCTCACACCACAGTGCTTCCAGTACATTCCCTTAAACACTGCAATCCAGTGACTCTCTTGAGTCATGATGACTGACAACATGCCATGCTCATAAAAGCTTCATGATCAGGAACCATGTCTGTCACTTCCTGATGTGTCCTCAGCACCTACAACTATGTCTGTGCGCATAGAACACAACAGATCTCGACAAATCTTTAAATGAAGCAACACTGCCATGTTTCTGTCCTAATTACCAAGTGTTCTTGCCTTTGTCCAGTTCCTGACCCTCAGCACCATCACATTCACGATCCCCTGCTCATCCCAGCAAGCCAGGATTTCCGCCTGATCCTGTGGTGGCTTCTGCCCATGCCTCCATGGCAACACTCTGCCTAATGTCAGCCGAACACAACTGCAGCTGGCTGCTGGAAGTACCGGGCTCATCTGGCTGAGCTTGAATATCAAGCCTTTTTTCTTACCCCTCTCTTCCTCAACGGATCGCTTCCATATTTTTCTTCTTTCTCCCACTTAACAAAAATCTAATTCGTTGTTACTTATATACAGGTAGGCGTCCCTCTTTTATTTTTTCAAGGCAAAGTTATAGAGAGGCAGACTAGATCTTCATGTGTAGGCTCACTGCCCAAGTGGCTGCAGTGACGTGGGCTGGCCCAGGACACAGTCCATCCGGGTCTCCCACATGGGTGGCAGGGGCGAAGCACGTGGGCCGCTTGCTTTGACCGCTTGCCCAGGTGCGTTAGTAAGAGCACTGTCATTAAGGTGACCAGCGCCCACAGGAGATGGCAGCCTCGCAGGAAGTGTTCTCAGAGGCTCTTGAGTACTTTCTTCAAAAGAAGAGAACATTTATTTATTTATTTATTTATGCTTGTTTGTTTGCAAAGCACGATTTAATTAGGAAAGGAGAAAGAGGACAGAAGGGGGCTTGAAGGGAGGAAGGCCCCAAGGGAACCTGAGAGAAGGCGCTCTCCTGCCTCGGCCACAGGAGCATGCCTTGGGTACATGGTTCAGTGTACCCAACCTCACAGGAATTATTCCAGACCTTCTACTTTTTTTTTCTTAAGACTTATTTTTTATTGGAAAGTCAGAATTACAGAGAAACAGAAAGATCTTCCATCTGCTGGTTCAGTCCCCAAGTAGCCAAAATGGCCGGAGCTGAGCCGATCCAAAGCCATGAACCTAATCCAGGTTTCCCATGTGGGTGCAGAGTTCCAGAACTTTGGGCCATTCTCGACTGTTTTCCCAGGCCACAAGCAGGGAGCTCAATGGTAAGCGGGGCCAGGATTAGAACTGGTGCCCATATGGGATTAGAACTGGTGCCAGCACATGTAAGGTGAGGGCTTTAGCCACTAAGCTATCGCACCAGGCCCAATTTGTGCTATTTCTATAACACTCTTTAAGGCCAAAACATCCTTCTTCAATGTCAGCACTACATATTTATAATATTCTCCAGTGTTTAAGAATATGTCCTATCATTGCTAAAATTACACTGAAAGAACTGAGTTTACCTACTATCATTTGTAGAAATACTTGAACAAATGCCTGTGGGGGGGCGTTGGGGAAGCCAACAGGTGAAAGTCAGAATTCCATAACAGAGCTCTGGTTGGAGTCTGGCTGCTCAGTTTCCAATCCAGCACCCTGCCAATGTGCCCGGGAAGACGGTGGAAGATGGTGCAAACACTTCACGTGGAAGACTCAGACAGAGTTCCGGGTTCCTGGCTACAGCCCAGCCCAGCCCCGCCATTGTAATCATCTGAGGAATGGATCAGCAGATGGAAGATGCCTCTCTGCTTCTCCCTTGCTCTGTGTCACTCTTTCAAATAAACAAAATACAACTTTAAGAAGTCAGTTGACCAACTTTATAGCAAGGATGAACTATAAACCTTACCCATTGGTTCAAGATTAACTCGTAATGACCCATATATCTATACACAGGAAATTCATAAAATCTTAAATTGAGCAACAAATATACCACTTGAAAAACATTAATGTTTTAAAAATTCTGTTCTTTTGGGACTTTTCCTTCCTTGGAGCCCCCTCCTGCCGCTACAGCAGGAACTCTCGTAGATGTCCTCCGGTCTTTCCTTCCCAGGAGCCTGTTCCTATGGCCGAGGCAGGAGGGCTCCTTCTCTCTCAGGTTTCCTTGGGTCCTTCCTCCCTTCTCTTCTTTTGAAGAAAGTACTCAAGAGCCTCTGAGAACACTTCTGCGAGGCTGCCATCTCCTGTGGGCGCTGGTCACCTTAATGACAGTGCTCTTACTAACGCACCTGGGCAAGTGGTCAAAGCAAGCGGCCCACGTGCTTCGCCTCTGCCACCCATGTGGGAGACCCGGATGGACTGTGTCCTGGGCCAGCCCACGTCACTGCAGCCACTTGGGCAGTGAGCCTACACATGAAGATCTAGTCTGCCTCTCTATAACTTTGCCTTTCAGATAAACAAAACAAACTGAAAGAAAGAGAGAGAAAGAAAGAAGCATTTGTCAAAGCATTTTCTGCAAATAGGTTCTCATTTTATTTCTGGGGACTGCTGTATTTCAGATTATCAATGTTTGAAAATAGCTGTCCTACAATTGGGACTCTGGGAAGATGTAAACAGCACAGCAACACGTTGCAAGCCACACAGCTGCTGACCAACCCCAATGTGTTACTGCATGTGGCTATGCTGTGCGCTGAGGTGTGTGGTAGTGCTACAAATGCCTGCAGTGGCAGAGATTCCATAGTCACATTTTTGTGAATACCCAATCACAAAATTCACTGCTTATGACTTGACAGTACAGCTTGAAAATACTAGATTCCAAGCTACAGGGAGCCACAGGGGTAAATATAAACCAAGTTCCTTCTGAAACTGACAACAAGGTAGTATGATTAAAGACTTAATAATGAAAATCTTGTAAAATTGCTAGATAATAAATGTGTCATTGCTGGAATGAATTACAATGCACTGCAGTTACTCGGCAAAGCTCAACTACAGGAGTAGGGCCAACAGTGCCTCAACCAAAGCAACTGGGAATTGATAACAATTTCAATAGTGGAGCAGATTTACATGACTGGTTGGTTTCCAAATATCAACACTTCTACTACAAAGTAGTACAAAGTACAAAGTACAAAATGTTCCTGGCTTTTGTTTAAATAATTGATATGTATATCATACATGCATAGATTATTCGCAAATTAGTGAACAAACAAAGATGTCATAAAATTGTTAGATTTCGAAAGAGACATCAACTTAGCATATCTGAAATGATGCAATGAAAAACTACCCAGAGGATTAAACCCCAACACTCACGAATCTATTAGATGACATCAGACAGCACATGAGAAGGCATGGTACTCAAACACCAAGAATGACAATGTCAAACCAGCCATGTCACGTGACACCAATAAACACACTGTCAAAAACGTAACAAAGCCTTTTATTTGCTCCTTTCCACCAAAAATAACTGAACAGTCCATGAAAGTCATTTCTTTGTACATTGTACAATGTTTAAAAGGATATCATATTTGCTCAATGTCCTATTTATAGGCCAGCTTATCGTGCAAATGATACTATATTGTTCTACTGCCCTGTTATTGGACAATCTAGATGCTCATCATTTTTTTTCTTTTTAAATTATGTATTTGAAGTCACAGTTCAAGAGAGCTCTTCCATCCACTGGTTCACTCCCCAGATGGCCACCACAGCTGCGGCTGGGCCAGGCTAAGTCAAGAGCCAGGAGCTTTCTCCAACTCTCATCTGGGTAGCAGAGGCCCACACACTCAGACTGTCTTCTGTTGCTTTTCCCAGATCATAAGCAGAAAGCTGGGACATGAACTGGTGCTGTCATGGGATCCCAGCATTATCTGTAGCAGCTCTCCAAACCACTAGGCCACACTGCAAGCCCCTATATTTTTATTTTTAATAATAAAGAACCTAATTTATTGCACCAGTGTCAACTTTGTTGAAATATTTACAGAATTGGCATAGTTGGTTAACAGAACATTTACAAAAACGAAAATGCCTTCAACTCAGAACTTTGCTTATACATATTGGAGGAAAAAATAACTAGATCGGGGCCTGGTACAGTGCCCTAGCGGCTAAAAGTCCTTGCCTTGAATGCGCCAGGATCCCATATGGGTGCTAGTTCTAATCCCGGCTGCTCCACTTCCCATCCAGCTCCCTGCTTGTGGCCTGGGAAAGCAGTTGAGGATGGCTCAAAGCTTTGGGACCCTGCACCCGTGTGGAATGTCCGGAAGAAGTTCCTAGCACCTGGCTTTGGATCAGCATAGCCTTAGCCATTGCGCTCACTTGGGGAGTGAATCATTGGACGGAAGCTCTTCCTCTCTGTCTCTCCTCCTCTCTGTATATCTGACTTTCCAATAAAAAATAAATAAATCTTAAAAAAAAATAACTAGACTGCCTGTTCTACCTCATAGCCAGCTTCTCCTCTACATCTTTCTTACAGAACCACCCTTCTTACAGAGCTTGAGTATTTATGACTTAACAACTACATTAGTTTATTTAAGCAGATCAAGTTGCAATATAAAGTTTTAAGTCAGTAACTTTTTAAAATTAAATACTAAAAATTCAACTTTCTAGCAGTCTCAGTACAGCACCTCCATGGAGAGACTTGAGGATGGTTTTTCTCTTCTAAGTTTGTGTCCTCTAAGCAAGTGACCAATGGGAACAAGCAACAAATGAAAGTGACTGTAAAAGAGCCGGCAATGGATCCAAGTATTTCAATTCCAGGATTCCTATTTTCTCCCTAAGTAACACACTAAGGTCCCTCCTTACTCCATATATAGGAAGGCTACCCATAATTTGGTCAGAAATCTGCTAACCTTGCCGTTTCTACTATAACATACATAGGTCATTCACTCAGGAAACATTTAGGAGCACCCATCATGTTGCAAGTAACTGCATGAAAAAAAGGAATCCAGAATCAGACCTGGAAATTTTAGTTTGTGGATGGGGTCTAGCTTTATTCTAGACGAGATTTTTCATCCTTGCGAGGACTTATTAATTAGCATCAGTGTTGGAAGTGTGTAGATATTTAAACAGTATTCATCTGCAAAACTGATTTTCTACAACAAAAAGCAGATCGTGAAGCCCAATGATGCATTTCCTGAAGGAATTTCAGTGAATAAACTGTGTGTGACTTTGCACAGGGCAATACACTGGTAAACAATTTTCACAACATTCATCTCCAGGCTACAGCAGCAATCACATGCAAACCTGGCCAGTCACTAACGATCATAATCAAGTGCTCAACTGAGTGACCACGACCCCCCAGAGCACAGCAGACGGTTCTCTCCCCTTTATAATCACCACGTCATAAACACTCAGGTGTAAGAAAACTGTCACTATTTTATATATTAAAAAAAATGTGCTCAGAAAGAAAAAATACTCTCCCAAATATCTGATTTTAAACCTTCTTTCAGTTTACCTGAACAAATCAATAAGCATAATTAAAATGTAATTAAAAAGCCACTACTCAGGACCCTAGTGGCTAAACCCTTGCTTTGCATGTGCTGGGATCCCATATGGGCACTGGCTCTAATCCTGCCAGCTCCCTGCCTGTGGCCAGCGAACACAGCAGAGGATGTCTGCCCAAAGCCTTGAGACCCTGCACCCACATGGGAGACCTGGAAGAAGCTCCTGGCTCTGGATCTGCTCATTTCTGGCCATTGTGGTCACTTCAGCAGATGGGAGATCTTTCTGTCTTTCCTTCTCTCTATATCTTCCTTTCTAATAAAAACAAAATAAATCTTTTTTTTTTTTTAAGGGCAGCACTCAAAGCCCTAACAATAAATACCACAAACAACATTTACTTTTAGTGTTATCACCAGGAACCATATTCTTTGATATGTTATCTTTTTTAGACAGTCAAGTAGCTTAAAAACAAACCAACCAACCCTAAAGCACTTGTCAGAAACAAAAATTCAACAGTGTTAATAAAGTGGATTCTGCAAGATTGTCTAATCCTCACACTGGTCCTAACTTGGAATTCAAGTTTCAGAATAAGATGCAGGATCCCCTGTAGACTATGTATCATGTGAATGCTCTGTAAAAGAGAACCAATGCCAACAAGCAGATTACGTAGCTTTTCCATCTAGGATTATAGCAAAAGTGGATCAACAGGGCCTTCTTTTCAAAACACAACAGAACCCACAACTTGTTAACGCTAACACAACACAAAGAGTTCTGCTCCCATTTCTTGACATAAGAGTTCACTGATGATTTTTTAAAAAGCGCACGAAGGAGTGGAATACAACACAGCCACACACCGAGGTATGCAGTCCCTGTTCAGAATCTTTTTTACTGCCCTCTAAGGTGACTACCATCGTGACCGTGCAAACACCTACCTGAAATGTTTTAAGTAGTGACTCAACTCTGACTTCAAAGAAGACAAAAATTAGCGCTTTCAAGAGAGAAGGGTGCATCACTGCATCGTTAGTCGGTAACTGATATCAAAGTGGCCCGTGGCTGTCACAGGAGGACACCATTTTGGATTAAATATGGGCTTGAGATCGTGCAAGGCTCTCCAGGACCCGCAGCAAACAGGTATCACAGCAAACAGATGTTTCAAGGCGTACAAGTTCTAAAACGGACCACTCACCACTTGAACAACAAAGGGCCAGTAAATCTTCCCCGGGCTCTAGGTTTAACCCAAAACTGTCATCCGCAACACCTTCACACCTACTTAACTGAGGGGGGCTATCGGCGGTGAGCGCAGGGAGTGGACACAGTCGGGAGATGAAACACGCAAGTCAGCCGGCGACTTCTCCAGCGACCCCCGCCTGCGGAAGAGGCAGGAAGGACAGCAGCCCCCGACCAGCACTGCCCAGGTGCGGGAAGTGTCACCCGAGCCGCAAGGCTCAGCGACAACGGCCAGGACCGAGGACCGCGGCTCGGGGCGACCCTCACCTGCGCCCCCGCGGAGCCGGAGTCCTTCCACAGAACTCGCACCTGCCGCGGCCCAGGCGCCTCGGGAAGCCGCCCACGGTCCGACGGAGCGGAAGGTACACGCCGAGTTCCAGGCAGGGCAAGCAGGCGGGATCGGAGCAGCCCGACCCCCGGCTTTCAGCTCCCGGGAGCCACTCGGCCCAGCTCAACCGTCCCCACCGCCCCCTAACGCCGTTTCTGCTCGCAGAGAATTTGAAGGCAAACCCGCCAGGGTCACTTCCGGTGCCAGAGGCGGCTGGGCGACTCGGACGCACGCGGGCGACGCCCCGGGAGCGAGGACGTCGGGGGCGTGCGCGCCGCCGGGCGGGACCCAGGGGCAGGGGGTGTGGCCGGTGCAGGCGCGCGCCTGCGCAGTCCCGTGCCGCTGGCCCCCCGCCAGAGAGGAGGTGCCGGCGGGAACACTGGTTAGCCTTACCTCGTGTGCCTCACTATCTTTTTCAAGCGCTTGCTTATTTTTCCTCCCATTTGATTTTTCACCATACGCCTTGCAGGCTGGGAAGACTGAATGTCCGGTTTAAAAGTGAGTGTCCAGGATCTAGCGACTTGTTTATGACAAACTGACAAACCCTGGTTTAGAACTTAGAACTCAGAATTTCTTAACTGGGGCCTTTGGCAGAACATACCAGGGAAACAAACAAACAGGGAAGGGTATTCAGGTCGCAGAGGAACTTTGTTTCCTTGAGATGTCTGAGGCACCGTTTAAACACAGCCAGACATCAGGTAAGATGATGTTACCGGTTCATAGGGACTCCAGGCGCCTCGGTGCCAGTGGTCCCTCCGGGCGCCGGCTCCATCCTCGGCTTCCCCTGCAGTGGAACAAGGGAAATGAGGATGCGCTGTACAGCTCTAACCTTAAAGCTGGCCACTAAATGAAGAGGTGCAGTTCACGGGAAATCCATCCATTTAGCCAACAGGTGTTCTGGGAGCTACAACTACCTTGTACCACAATGTACAGTGGTTTGCAAGATGGAATGTTTCAAGGGGATTGAAGTCTTGGGCAGAAAATCATAGGATCGGGCTCAGCACAATAGCCTAGTGGCTAAATCCTTGCCTTGCATGCTCTTGGATCCTGTATGAGTGCCGGTTCATATCCCTGCTGCTCTACTTCCCATCCAGCTCCCTGCTTATGGCCTGGGAAAGCAGTTCAAGATGGCCCAGAACCTTGGGACCCTGCACCCGTATGGGAGACTCAAAAAGAACTTCTGGCTTTCGATCAGCTCAGCTCTGGCTGTTGTGGCCATTTGGGGAGAGAGCCAGCAGACAGAGATCTTTGTCTCTGTCTCTCCTCTCTGTATATCTGACTTTCTGATATAAATAAATCTTTTTTTTAATTCTGAAATAAATCTTTTTAAAAATGACAGGATTATTGCGGACCTGAACCCCATTTTAATGAGGCATGGGACTATCAATCAGTACATAATATTTAGTACCAAAACCAGTTCAGAGAGAAACATTAATCATGTAATTCAACCATCATCCTTAAGTGAGTGCAAAGGTATGCTATTTCCTAACGTCGTTATAGTTTTTAAATCTCTGTGGTCTGGACACTTGCTTTTTCTCCAAGGTCTCACATAGGAGGGATTCAGTCCTGAGTCTTACATGAATGGGTCGAGATGGGGAGTCAGCTCACACTTGGTGCGTCAAGGTGGGCTTTGCAAGGTCCTGGCTGAGGCTAGGGCTTGCAGGTGCATCCCAGCATGGATTCTAGTCATGTGCAAAGGAGAGCGTACCTCCAGAGTGGACGATGAGCTGGCTGGCTTGGCTCTTGCTGGGCCTGCCTCTGTCCTCTAGTGTCATCCCTTGCTAGACTCATGGGGCTCCCCAGCCTTGCACTATGAACCCCATAAAACATGAGCCAAAGTAGGTCATCCTCCTTCCCAAGTAGCTTCTCAGGCAGTGCAGCGACACACTCGTGACTGACATAAGCTACAAAAATCAGCGTGTCCTGTGTGATTGCACAAATAGAAAGTTCCAAGAGAGCCAAAACTAATCAAGGAGGGCTATGGGACCCGTTCATATTACTACTTTACAATTTTTTTAAAATTGAAATTATTTTGAAATGTTTTTACAAATGCAAAATCTTCAGTTTCTAAATTTTTGTGAAGAGTTATTTTATTTGAAAGGCAGAATTACACAGAGAGGAAGCTACAGATACAGAGATCTTTCATCCTCTGACTCACTCCCCAGATGACATTAAGGCCAGGGCTGGGGCAAGCTGAAGCCAGGAGCTTCATCTGGGTCTCCCACAAGGGAGCAAGACCCAAGGACTTGGGCCATCCTCCACTGCTTTCCCAAGTGCATCAGCAGGGAGCTTAATCAGCAGTAAAGCAGCTGGGTCTCAAACTAGTATCCCGAATGGGATGTTAGCACTGCAGTCAGAGCCTTAGCCGCAGCACCAGCCCCTAGGGAGCAGGGGTTGGGCTGGAGCTGACTCTGAGCCAACTGGCATACGTGGGGGCCAGGTCTGAGGACCTCCCAGGCAAAGTTGCTTAGGGGGCTCCCCAACTGGACTGCTGCACTGAATCCCAGTTGCGGGGAAAATCACAAGAATATATGTGCTCAACCTGGGGCACATGTTGCAGGATCAGGCAGGCCATCTTGGTTGAGCACAGTCAGATGAACACAAAAGGTCAGAGAACCAGCTCACTTAAGTCGACAGAGTACTTCAAGTACCTTATCAAAAGATATGAAGCAGGACAGGTTGAACAACACTCCTGGCCAAGCTTTGCACATAGGTCTGTGGACATATTGAAGTAGACATGACCGGCCAACAGACAGAACTTTTCACCTCTAGCGTACAAGCCGACAAGCTCTCAGGATAATCAACACTACTCGAGTAACACCCTCAGAACAGTCTTCCCCATACAAGGGTCTCCAAGGCAACATCCAAAGACTCTTAGTCCTTGAGTGCTGATGTAGTTTGACATCAAGGATGATGCACTCTCCTGTCTCCTGGTCAGACACAGGAAAAAAGAACATTTATCTCACCCACCTTCCCTCCACATCCCAAACCTCTCCACATTAATTGGATGCTCACAAGAGTCTGCAATTCCTTTGCCCATTTAACCAATATTAAATTTTTTTAATTTTAAAAATAGTTAATTGCCTAAAGCTAGATCTAGGAAGTGGAAGAGAAGAAACTGACTACCAAAAGACAGGAGGAGACAAGCGTTTTTTTGGGGGTAGTAGTTACATAATTGTGCGAATTTACTAAAACTCACTGAATTATACATATAAAATGGATGCATTTTGTTACGTAAATCATATCTGTGCAGATATTTTAAGTAAAAAAAAAGTCTCAAAGTGTGATATACACTTACTACTTTCTTTTTTTTAAATTACTTATTATTGGGGTTGGCACAGAGGCTTATCATGCTAATCTTTTACCAGCTAGCACCAGGATCCCATATGGGTACTGCTCCAAGTCCCTGCTGCACCACTTCCCATTCCGCTCCCTGCTGTTGGCCTGAGAAACCAATGGAGGATGGCCCAAGGCCTTGGGTCCCTGCACCCATGTGAGAGACACCAAGGAAGCTCCTGGCTCCCAGCTTCGATCAGTTCCACTCTGCCCACTGTGTTTTTTATATCTTTTGGGACATGAACCAGCAGATGGAAGAGCTCCCAGTCTCATTCTCTCTCTGTAAAGTCTGCCTTTCCAATAAAAATAAATAAATCTTTTTTAAAAAAAGATCTTCCATCCTTTTATTCACTCAACATAAGGGTTTGCTACAGAGGTAATAGGGACTCAAGCCCACAAGCTACCTTCTGCTGTTTTCCCCAGGCCATCAACAGGAAGCTGAATTAGAAGTAGAGCAGCCAGGACACAAACCTGCACCTAAATGGGATTCTGGCATCAAAGGTAGCAGCTTTACCTGCTCTGCCATAATGCCAGCCCAATGACCACCTTTTGACATCATACAATTTGTTTATTGTTGAAGTAGGTGAACTTACTGAAGTCAGACATATTGTCTGTCCATTGGACTGACAGGAGAGTGGATTGTCTGACCTGTTAGCTGAATATAAAGGCCATGAAATCCTTTGGTCTGGCCCTGCTAAGGCAATCAGAGGCTGGACTCAAATGCTTAAATCTAGAGCAGGCTAATTTTTAAGGTGGTAATTTTATGTGGCCCATAATTCATGTTATAAATATCTAAATGGCCCTTGAGAGATTCCCCAGCCTTAGAGTAGAACAATGCCTTGCATATTGTATGCATGACCTAGATATTTGCAGAATAAATGAGAGACCCTTGTATGTCATCAGGGAAATCCTACAGGATCCCTTAAGACTCCCTTTATTAATTTCACTCACTTGATTGACCAATCTGATATTCTTTCTGAGTCATATCTTAGGATAAAAGAATACACAGACTACTGAAAATCTGAACCACAAGTCAGCTTTGCTGAATTTTTAATTGTATCACACAGTAGTTACAGTAACAAACTGAGCTCCCATCACCAGTGTTTCAAAATTTTTCCTTATTTATTTGTTCTGTTTTAGAAGTTTCTAGCAACATATCTTCAAGCTCACTGATCATTTTCTTGGTCCTGCCCTGTATGCTGATGAGCTCACCGAGGCATCTGTTTCTGTTCGTGTTCTTGCTTTCTTTCTTTGCTTTCTCGTTGGATTCTTAGTTTCCACATCTGTGTTTACATAATCCAGCCATTCTTTCGTGTCCATTTTTTTCCCATCTGGACTTTGGAATACGTGTAACTGGACATTTCTTACCAGGCATTTTTGTGTACAGAAAATTTTTCTGTGCCTTTTTTTCCCTTTCACAAACTTGCCCCTTCATTTCTAATGTCACCATGTTAAAAGTCACCTGCTTTCATTGTCTGACTCCCTCATCCAGTATTGCAGCTAAATCCTATCACTTCTCCCTCCAGCTCTTCACACCTCTTCCTTACCGAGGTCATTTCAGTAGGCGCTCAGCTTCA